AAATTTAATAAAGTCAATATAAAGACATTTAGATTACATAATTAATTCGCTCGAATTAATAATTAATCGTATAATTAAATTTTGCATAAGAAATTTAGCCTCTTGTGAAGTAAAGAGGCTTACAAAAATTGCATCTCTTACACGTATAGTGTAAATGGATGCGGGTATAAAATAAAATGGGTTTCAGCATCAGTACCCTCACTAAACGATCACTGAATACTATGCTCCCCAAAGACAAGGATGGTGGTCTCTGGTCGAACGGTTCCTTATATAGACTCAGCGCAACATTTCACCTGTGAGAACGTATGCCATCTGTTGGCCTTTAGACACACTAATGCGCAAAAATTTCATTCTACCATTATAAACAATTATATTTTAATTCTAATAAATCCTTTTGTATAAATATTTTTAAAATTAATTATAATTATTATATTTTTGTTAATTAATACAATATTAATTATAAAGTACTAATTAATTTATTTATAATAATTAATTATAAATTATAAATTATTAATTATTAATTTATTATTAATTTATTAATTACCGTTATTTATTATAAAATATTTATTATTACAATAAATAAATTATTAAAAAAATTTGATAAAAAAATAACAATGTTTAATAAAAAAAAAAAAAAAACATTTTTGATTTAGATTTATTTTGTTTAGAAAGTTTGTTACAAAGTTTTTTTGTACCTGGGATTCAAAGATAAACTTCAAGTTTATCAGTTGTTTTTTATCTCAAAAGCAAATGTTCTCTCTTAATGTGTACTAGCCGTTTTTAAAATTTTTCCACATTTAAAAATATTTTTTTTTTACAAGAGTAGCACACATTTTTACATTTCCATAATTGTTATTGTAATATATATTATAATTTAAAGATTATAAAAATAAGAATAAAAATAAAAATTATCATTATCTGTTTATATTGGAACATTAATCTGCTTTATCCCCTTATAATCATCCGGATATTCACAATGGTTTAGGGATATCATTTGATCAAAAGAAATTAGGATATTCTTACGATTTCCCTAAGATATCCTTGGATATCTTAATTTCTAATTTCCCTAGAGCATTCCTAGAACAACCTAGGGATATTCGAATTTCTAATTTCCCTAGAACATCTTAGGAATATCCTAAATTCTAATTTCCCTAGAACATCATAGGGACATCCGAATTTATAATTTCCTAGGACATTCTAGGGATATCCTAATTTCCCCACACCAAATGATATCCCTAGAATATCCGAATACCGTGAGGCATTTTTTTATAATTATTATGCAGTTTCCAAATTCCAAGTAGTTAATTAAATTAATTTGTTCTTAAAGAACTAAAAAAAAAACTGTTTCTACTTATTGCAGGCTAAATGAGAAAATAAGGTTATCTAAGTTGACATACTTTAACAAAATAGTTTGAATATATATATATATATATATATAATTAACTTAATTATTTTTTCTTTTGTTGCCAGTTCTTTTTTTTCATTGTTTTCATTTGTTCTTTTTTTTCATAACATTGCTATGATGATGACCATAATATACTCTCGTAACTAAAATTAAATATTACATTATAAATATATGAAATTTACGTAACTTTTCAACAGGTAATTGCGTACATATGTAAACTAAGAAGAACAGAAAAATAAAAATAGTAGTACACAGAGCTGGATTTTGTTAAATAACATATTATGTAAAATGTCGATAAAATAAATGAACATTTAAAATGGAGACAAAATAATGTTTTAAATTGAATTTATAAAAAAGATTTTTCCACATTACCATTTTATTCTGCGTTTTTATAACATACGGGGGGGGGGGGGGAAATAATTTTAAAAAAACTTTTTTTGTACACCGAAGAAACGGAAACTAAATTTAAGAATATCTTGGCGTAAATTTAAGAATATCCTACGGATATCCTAGAAATATACCTTCACAAAACCGGATATTTAAGGATAATCATTTATTTGCGGCAGTTTGGATATCCCTAGGGACCCTAGGATATCCTAGGGATTTGTAAACCGCCTGGATTAAATGGATATTCTTTGTATATCCTTAAATATCCGGTGCTGTGAGGGTACAGAAATTAAGATATCCTACAAAATATCCCAGGACATCCTAGGGATATCCTAATTTTCTCGTACCAAATGTTATCCCTAGAATATCCCGAATATCCGGATGCTGTGAGGGTATTAAATTGAGTTGAAAAATTGAATTTTTGAATAATTATAAATTTATGAAAAATTCTCTATAATTTTTATTTTAATGGAGAATTTTTTTATAAAATATAAATTAAATCGCGCATTAAATTCTAAATACCTGATTGAAAATCGTTTTGTTTTAATAAAAATAATTGATTACTTCTAGTTTGATAAATAACTTGACTGTTATTTGTAATCTTGAATCGTGTTACGTACCTAAGTACCTCCTTACCCCGCATAAATCAGAAGGTAGTCGTCGCGTCATTCGAGATATACATTCAGTTCGAGAGTGATCGTTGTACGTGACTACTCTTCAAGCTGAATTAAATCCTTCTTTTAAAGTGCTGTGACATTAGTAAGTTATTTAATTTCAATTAAAAAAAAAAAAAACTATTACATGTTTTAATAAACCTTTTTTTAATTTTATTTATTTTCAATTTTTTGTTAAATTTTTTTTTTCTTGGGAGAAAAGAAATTAATTTTTTATTAATTGATTTTTAATAAATAGTAAAATTATAAATATTTTTTCTTCTTTTTAAAAAAAAAAAATTAAAATTTGTTTCTTTCACTATTGTGAAATCTTTTATCGCGGCAGAATAAATCCGTTTTCTGAAGAATCACGTGGTTATATGTGACTCGTGAGGTGGTCACGTGCGTTATACAAGGTAAAGATGTTCAATTTCTACAGTGTGCGGATTACATTAAATTACTGAAAATAAAGTGTAATTAAAGTACAATTGACGTAAATATGTTTCATTACACTATTTAAAGCGGATAATATCTTTGTTACGTGAATTTAATTGTTTATGTAAAAATTAATTTTTTTTTACCTTGAGTGCGTGGTACACACTTTTTATTTTATTTTTTTTGTGTTAGCGCATTAACACTCTTTTGCACGCAACCAATATCCATTACAATATTATACTGTTATACAGGTTCCACCCTTCTATTATATTCTCGCTATATACGTATATATATATATATATATATGAATCGATGATTCTCGCACTATGCAAAGAAGGGAGCGAGATTCAAACAAATTGGACAATTAATATCAAGGCTCTTTTTGAAAATATATATTTTTTGAAAAATTCACCATAATTAATGGAGGAGCAAAAAAAAAAAAAAATAATAGAATGAATTTTTTACTTTCATATATTTTTTTTTGTTTTTGGGTAGCAAACAATTATAATTCACGGTATACGTTTGCGACTACCCAGTAGGCAGGGGTCGTAAAAAAAATTATAGTATATTTTTTCGTATGGTTTTAAAATAGGTATGACAATAAAAACTCTTTGCGGTCGAATAAATAATTAAGTATATATATATATATATTTTTTTGATGACATGTTTTATGTTTTAAAACTTGGGTTATTTTTACGAAACATAGTACATAGTCAGTGTTTATATAATATTTAAATTGTAAAATTGAATTTTTTAATTGAAATTTCTTTTCTATGTGAAAAAATTTATTTGAACTGAAAATATTTTTTGATAATTTTTTTTTTTAATAATATACATACGCCTGAATATTATTTTAAGAATGAATCACACTTTTAATATCATCATAGATTTTTATAGTTTTAGGCGTTTAAAAATAATATTCTAAAAAAAAAAAATTAAATTTTATTTATATTTAGATTATAAAAATCTAATTAATTACATATAATTTCAATTAATACCTAATAAAATAATCTTTTTGATCATATTTTATAAAGATAATTCAGGAAGTATTGATAAATTATATTATATATTTGATTTCCGTCATTCAGTAAAATTAATAATTAAACTTAAATTTATTAATATGAAAACACCTAGATTTCTATATAAATAGTTCCCATCAACTTTATTCGGTCCTAAAAATGTAGGTTACACTTTATCAGTAGACGATCTGCTTTTTTTTTATCATAACTGATAATTGAGAAAGAAATTTATTAAGAAGAACATTTCCATTTTTAAAGCGTTTGTAAAATGTCATTCTTATGTAAGTTATATTAAATGAATCTTAGAATTTACGTATTTCAGAGATAAAATTCTTTAAATATGTGAGATGCAAATATTTGTTTTTAAAGGTAACTTCTTACAATACAGAATTTTCAGACACATTATTATTTAAATAATTATTTATTTATTATTGTTTTATAATAAATATGTAATTTTCTATTAAGAAATAGTTTCTTCTTTTTTTTAATATTTGTAAAAGTAAAATTATTTCCTTTTTATTATAAAGTAGCAAAATTATTGTGTTTAGGAATGTTTGTATATATCATAAAATTTGAACTATGAACTTTCAAGTGAATTGAAGAAAAAAAAAAATGGAAATATACTTTTTCCGACTGCGATAATTGACCGAGACATTTTAATCTTCATATCTTGATTCACAGCATAGTTTCCTGCCGTGATCAGATTGAAAGACCGGCGCGCCAATAAATCTATTGCAAAGAATAACATTTATATATGTACTCTGAAATTCAAGATTAAAAATCTGTTTTTTTTTTTTATTATTTTATGACTTAGCAATTACGATTAAAACAGCACAAAAGGCTTTTCATCTTTACAGAGTGATTGAACAATGATAAAAGGATATTACATCACTCAAGTGCGGCATTTTTAAAACAGAAAAAAATCTTTAGAAATGAAACATTCTGAATATAAATTTAATTTTATAAAATTCTGCTAATTAAAAATTAGATAATTTTTAATATTAATTAATTAACAATTTCAGGAGGGAAAAAAATTCCTCTAAATTTTGAAAATAAATAAAATTTTAAAAAAGTAAAAAAAAATGTTTACATATGTTTCAGGATAAGTGATAGTTAGCTGTCAAGATGGGGGCGATGTTTAGGAGCGAAGATATGGCCCTCTGTCAGCTGTTCATACAGCCAGAGGCTGCCTACCTTTCGGTCTCCGAACTCGGTGAAACTGGAACAGTTCAGTTTCGTGATGTAAGATATGTATTTTTATTTCTAGCTCCATGATTCACGTGATTCTTTTGAACAAAAAAAAAAAAAATATAGTAATACACAAAAACGTTGCATCAGTAACATATTCTTAAAATAAAAATCAAATATATTTTCATGTTTTTATTATAGCTTTATACGCACACTGGATTTTTCGCATGGGTCATATAATATTGTCGAGATTATGCAAAAAACTTTCCTTTAAATAGAAAAAAAAAAAAATTATCAAATATTTTTCTCCTTATCTCACCCTTTTTTTTTATTTATTAATTGCTATTAAATATATTCTCACAAAAAAAAATTCATCCACAAAAAAATTTACCTGTTTTTTGAACATAATTTACAAAAATCACTAATTTATAAACAATTAAGAACTATTTTTTTCCAGTAAATTAACATTTGTCCCATTTATTAATTACCACTATTAAAAAATTATTAATATTATCTTATCTGAAAACAAGTTGAACAAAATCGAAAAAAATGTCACTTCCAGAGATTTATCGTTTTTTCGATCTTCGGTATAAATTTTTGTCAGTGATGCTTTTGAAATTTTTTCAGGTTCGATTGTGCAATCGGGTTGATTTTGGGTTGTCGGGTTCAGGTTGAAAACTTTTAAATCCTTATATTATATATAATCTAATCTAATTTTTATTACTTATTATTAATTAATTAATTAATTAATTAATTAATAATAATAATAATAATGATTGAAAGTTTATTTGAAAAATTAGCTAGAACATAAAATGAAGATCATGAGTGCGTTTATTTTCATCACAGCTTAATGGCGATGTAAACTACTTTCAAAGAAAATTTGTAAATGAAGTACGTCGCTGTGATGAGATGGAGCGCAAACTTCGTTACATTGAAGCCGAAGTGAAAAAGGATGGAGTATCCATCGCAGATAATCTTACTGAATTGCCACGCGCTCCAAATCCCCGGGAGATTATAGATCTTGAGGTAGAGTATTTTATTTTCAACTATTGTTGCAATTTTTTTTTTTTTTAATAAATTAAAAAAAAAAAAAATTCTGAAAGTCATCCTTTCCGTGCAAGAAATTTTGCCAGGGCTCAGATTGGGGCCTGATCAGGCTGCCCAATTAGGGAATAAAACGCCGCACCTTTTGTGTCCCTGATTTTAGGAAATCCACATATTTGGCACTGATCAGGTGTGGCGTTTCATTCTCTAGTAGGGCCCTGATAGGGCAATTTCTACACGGATTAGCAAGAGTTGCTAAAAGAAAAAATCCCACCAGATATTCTAGGATATTCCAAAAACATCCCTTGGATATCCTAGGGATACCCCAGGGATATCCTAAGGATACTTTAAGGATATCCAAAGTAGCGGCGGTTAGGATATCCTAGGCATATTCCAGGGATATCTAAGGATGTCCCTAGGACGTCCCAGGGATATCCTAATTATTTCCCCGGATATTATTAGGATATCCTGTGGATATCCTTAGAACGTTCCAAGGATATCCTCAGGACGTCCAATTACGTCCTAAGGTAACAGCCCAGATTTGAAAGATGATTGACAATCACGGGAAACCTATTTGTATCAAAAAATCGCTATCTTAAATAGCCAAAATTTGAATCATAATGATATCCTAGGGAGATCTTAGCGATATTTCTAGAATATTTTAACGATATACCAAGTTTATCCCAAGAATATCCCCACGATATCACTGGGATATCCCTGGAATATCCCAGGGATATCCCTTGAATATCCTCAGGATATCCCAAAAATATCCTACGTAACGGCGGTTTGGATGTTCTGAGGATATTCTCAGGATATCCTATGGACGTTTTCAGGATATCCTACATTAGTTTAGGATATCCTTTTGTTGTGAGGGTAATAATAAATAAATAAATATATTATAAATATATTAACTTATAGATTTTAATTCTATTTTTTGAATCGAAAAAAAAAGAATTTTTGTAGTTTCTGTTTTTTTTTTTTTTTTTTTTTTGTTTTCTTCAACGCTTGGAAAAAAAGCTTCTAATCAATATTTTATTAACTTAGGCACACCTAGAAAAGACGGAGAACGAGATACTTGAGCTGAGCCACAATGCGGTGAATCTGAAGAGTAACTACCTCGAGCTTACGGAGTTGCGTCACGTTCTCGAGAAAACGCAGGTTTTTTTCACGGAGGTACCTAAAAGTAGTTCGGCAGCTTATCTCTTTGCGCCATCCCCCTTCGTGTAATCGGTGTTCACGTTTTGTCGAAGAATCAAGGTTCGCTTCTTCTTCTGTATCAACAGGAAGAGGCCAACGACTCAATCACCCGGGCACTGATAAATGAGGAGGCGCAGAATCAGAGCGCTACGGGTCGCGGACGACTCGAGTGAGTTTTTTTTTTTTTTTTTTTTTTAATCCTTTTATATGGTTGAATTTTTATCTCTTTGGTTTTTGGCAAAAAAAAAAAATCTTATTTGTTTTAAATAAAGAAATAATTGATTTTTTTTTTAAATTTTAGTGTTAAATTTGTAGAAATTAATAATTTTTTTCTTTTAGATTCGTTGCTGGCGTGATCAATCGTGAGCGAGTTCCAGCCTTCGAGCGGATGCTGTGGCGGATATCCAGGGGAAACGTTTTTCTACGGCAGGCAGAACTTGAAAAACCATTGGAAGATCCAAGCACAGTAAGAGTTTTTTTTTTTTGCTCTCAATGATGGCTTCTTACTTTTTCTTCCAATAAGAATCCCATGTGCGAAATGCCAAGACTGACAATACGGCCCAACATTGGCCCAGTAATGTCTGCCAAAGTATGGCAAACGTTACTGGACCAGTACTGGCGATCAATTCGTCCCATTATTAGGCCAATATTGGCACCAATTCTCGGTTACTCTTATTTGCCATTATTGGGCCGAACTCTGTCCCATTACTGGGCCAATATTGGCACTGCGTCTCAGTTACTCCAAATTGCCATAATTGAGTCGAACTCCATCCCATTATTGGGACAATATTGGCACCGTTTCTTGATTATTCTAATTTGCCATTATTGGGTCTTCTCTGTCCCATTACTGGGCCAATATTGGCACTGCGTCTCAGTTACTCCAATTTTCCATAATTGGGCCGAACTCCGTCACACTACTGGGCCAATATTGGCACCAATACTTGGTAATTCTACTTTTTCATAATTGAGACGAACTCTGTCCTATTACTGGGTCATTATTGGCTCATTGACGGCTGAAATGTTGAATTTATTTTGACAAGTCATTTTTTCCAAAGTTGGAACGAATCTTGGCCCAGTAATGGCGCATTAACGGCTGAAATGTTCCTCAAATGCAGCTTATCAAAATATTTTTGTGTTGAGATTCCCATATCCGCGTATAGTGTAGTGGTTAGCGTGTTAGACTTCGGTGCGTTAGGTTGCGAGTTCGATTCCCGCGAGCGTTACAAATTTTCAAATGTTTAAACAATTGTCCTTTCTGTCAGGACTTGAATTATAAATGTATAATGAATTAATTAGTTAATTAATTAATTATTATGATTTTTTAAACTCTTTTAAACTTTGACAATACTGGGCCACTAATGGCAGCCAAGATTGGCCCAGTAATGGCGTCTGATACTTGGCTGCCGACGTCCAACCGCAGTGAACACCGCAAGAGTTGGCCCAATATTGTCTGCCAAGACTTGGTGCCCGATTTGACAATGCTGGGCCAATATTGGCCCATGTTGGTTTTCGCACTTGGGTAAATTTACCAAATACTAAATTACTAAAAAAAAAACTAAATTTTCTACTTAAAAATAAATAACTAAAAAAACGTAGTAACGTGTTTTTTTTTATTTAATTTATTCTAGGGTAATGAAATTTACAAAACGGCATTCGTAGCCTTTTTTCAAGGAGAACAACTAAAGAGTCGCATTAAGAAAGTATGCACTGGATTTCATGCGTCTCTTTATCCCTGTCCAAATACAAATTCAGAGCGATTGGAAATGGTCAAGGGTGTTCGTACACGTTTAGAGGATTTAAATTTGGTAATTATATTAGAAAAAAAAAATGCTTCCTCATATCACTTATTATTTTATCAATCATCAAAAGAACATGATTTTTAATCCTCGTTGCAAAATATCGTTTTTCTCATTTAACATTTTAAAATGCAGAAAATTCCTATTTTTTAAGATTTGACAACAGTTCCAGCTGTCAAGTAAGTGAGACAAGAAAAGAAAAATATATATTTATAAATATTTCTTTAAAAAGGGTTTAAAATTGTATATATTTTTTTCTACTTATCAACAATTTGAATGTTTATTAATTATTTGAATCAGGTTCTAAACCAAACTCAGGATCATAGACAACGTGTTCTTCACAATGTAGCTAAAGAATTACCAAATTGGAGTATAATGGTTCGTAAAATGAAAGCTATTTATCATACAATGAATTTGTTTAACATGGATGTTTCAAAAAAGTGCCTCATTGGAGAATGTTGGGTCCCTGTTGCGGATCTAGCAATTGTTCAAAATTGTTTAACGGAAGGGTCGGTTAGTATATGCCTTTTTAAAAGTTTTCCAAAGGTAACAAAATACCTTTGCTTCAATTCGAAAAAGGTTATTGCTTGCGGCAGATTGGATATCCCTGGGATATCCTAGGGATATCCAAACCGCCGGAAGCAAATTGACATCCCTAGGATATCCCTGGGTTATCCTTAAATATCCTGTGCTGTAAGGGATATAATGCTAATTTTTAATTGTTATTTCTTTCAGTGTATTGCGATTTTAAATCTAATCTTCATTTAGTCACTTTTTTTAATTTTTAGCGTCTCTGTGGAAATTCAATACCATCTTTCTTGAATGTCATTCACACGGATGAAGATCCGCCAACATTTAATAGAACTAACAAATTTACCAGAGGATTCCAAAATTTAATTGATGCCTATGGAGTAGCTTCCTATCGTGAAGCAAATCCTGCTCTGTATACTATAATTACTTTTCCGTTCCTTTTTAGTATTATGTTCGGTGATGCAGGTCATGGTACGTTTTTATAAAAGTGCATTTAATTCATGTACCTTTATATCTAAAAGATATTTTTAATTATTTTATTCATAATTGAATCATTAATGTATATCTGAATCAAAATAATAAATCTTTTTGACACTCATCAAATTGTCTTTTAAGATTTTCTAAAAATCTCAATCTATATAGGTTTGCTAATGACATTGTTTGGACTCTACATGGTTGTATGGGAGAAGAAATTATCAGCAAAAAAGACAAACAATGAAATTTGGAACATTTTCTTTGGAGGCCGCTACATTATACTTTTAATGGGTTTGTTTTCCATCTACACTGGTATTGTCTACAATGATCTGTTCTCAAAATCAGTTAACATATTTGGATCTAGCTGGAAATCATCTTACAATTATACAACGTTAAAAGATAATCACTATTTGCAATTGAATCCAAATACAGAAGGTTACAGTCAATATCCATATCCAATTGGAGTCGATCCAGTATGGATGGTTGCTGAAAATAAAATTATCTTCCTTAATTCTTATAAGATGAAGCTATCGATTATCTTTGGGGTTGTTCATATGATTTTTGGAGTCTGTATGAGTGTTGTTAATATTATGTAAGTTTTATTATTAAATTCAAAAAAAGCAAAAATTGTATTCTTCAATTTTTTAAAATTTTCCAGACACTTTAAGAAATATGCGAGTCTCTTTCTTGAATTCTTACCTCAACTTCTTTTCTTGATACTTTTATTCTTCTACATGGTGTCACTGATGTTTTTGAAATGGATTCTTTACTCGGCTACAAATGACAGTAAGCAAAAATTACATAAATCAATATTATAGAAAAAAATCTTTTGTAAAAAAAAACAATCATTTGATTGTAGGTTTAAAATATAAACCCGGCTGTGCACCTTCTGTATTAATTACATTTATAAATATGATGCTCTTTGGAAGTTCGCCAGTTCAAGAAGGTTGTTCCGAGTTCATGTTCGAAGGTCAAAAACCTCTTCAGTTGGTCTGTGTTTATCTTGCATTGATTTGCATTCCAGTGATGTTGTTTGGAAAACCACTTTATATTAAATTTTCCAAGAAACAACCAGGCCGGATTATGGTAATTGTTTCTAATGAATGTTGACCAGTTTTAAAAATTTTGTAAAAAAAATTTTCATTTTCTTTTAGACAAATGGCTCTGCATCTCAAGATATTGAATTACAACCGGAAGGTTATGAATTAACTCCAACAACTTCGGGTGGAAATGGAACAGGAGGACACGGTCATGATGATGGTGGTTTTGGTGAGCTGATGATCAATCAAGGTATTCATACAATAGAGTATGTGTTGTCAACAATTTCGCATACGGCGTCATATTTACGTCTTTGGGCACTGTCACTGGCTCATGCTCAATTATCGGAAGTTCTTTGGAATATGGTGATGCAAAAAGGTCTTCGCGCCGATGAAGGAGATTACGTCAAATCTGTAATGTTATTCATTGCTTTTGGAGCCTGGTCCCTATTTACCTTAGCCATTTTGGTCATGATGGAAGGACTTTCTGCTTTTTTGCATACACTTCGTCTTCATTGGTAATTCATAATTCATATTAATACACGTGCAGAAATTTTGCCAGGGCCCAAACCGGGGCCGGATCAGTCTGCCCTATTAGGGAATGAAACGTAGCGTCTGATGTGGCCCTGATTAGGAAACCCAAATTTTCTTGTCGCCCTAATCAGATATGGCGTTTCATTCCCTACTAGGACCCTGGTAGGACAATTTCTACACGGGAAACAGGGAACACGATCGGGAGCCACTGCCCGTGTAGAAATTCTACCATGGCCCAAATCGGGCCGCCCTATTAGAGAATGAAACGCCGCGCCTGATTAGGAAATCCACATTATCTGATCGCCCTGATCAGGCGAGGCGTTTCATTGCCTACTAGGGCCCTGGCAGGGCTATTTCCACAGAAAGAAGAGCGCCCTACTTCAACCCGACTAAAATCGATTATAACCGGGGCCCGACCAGGGCCTGGTTTGGCCCCGGTTCCCTGTTTCAACCAGGTCAGGGCCAGGTTGGCGAATTTCTGCACAGATATTAATTAATAAATTAATAAAAGATTTTAATCTTTTACGAATGCGGTACTGAATAAATTAAAAATTTTTTTTTGTATTTAAATTCCAGGGTGGAATTTATGAGTAAATTTTATGAAGGTAATGGCTATCCTTTTCAACCTTTCTACTTTAAAACGATCTTTGATACAGAAGACGCTGAAGAATAGATAATGAAATTGTTTAAAAAACACAAATTATTGTTAATTTTAATATTTATCGAAAATGATGAACATTACAGCACGAATGTTGTTAGTGTGCGAGTGAAAGAGAGAGAGGGAGAGAGAGAAAGAGAGAGAGAGAGGGAGGGAGAGAAAGTATATAATATTCAGATAAATTCTCTCTGAATCCTATTTTACACTCTTTCAGGCGTAACCGTCCAATTTAAGCGAAAAAAATGTCTTACCACAATGCGATGATTTGTAAAATTTTTACTAAATCATATTCATAAAATCACCAAAATATGTTTTTTAAGTTATCATTAAAAGTCAGTAAAAAAAAACCCCCCACCTAATAATTTTAAATAAAGTGAGTCAGTTTGTATAATTTTTTTTTTTTTAATTTGCAATTACTCTTGTGTTTCGCCTGATGGTTGCGATAGAAATGAATGATATTTTTATTATCGATTTTAAATCATCACTGTAACACTGAAATATTTCTATTTTCAGTATAAGTCAAATTTTAATGAAATTTGTTCAGATGATAAATTCCAATTAAGTTTGAATTTTGTGTTTTCTTTTTTTTTGTTATAATGAATTTGTTGCTTTGTTATCTAATACAGATAGAAAAAATACTGTCACTTGTAAATTTTGATATTTATTAAAATATTAAATCCACAATTTTATTAATCTGTTACATATACATATTATTAACGACGCAATTTTTAAGTGTTACTATATAAAGTGTTTCAAGTTTCACACAAGAAATTGTATTCTTTACAACAATGTTATGAAACACTTTTGAATAATTCTAGAAATAATTATATGGACCAAGTTACGCTTTGAAAATCCATAAAGTTAATATAATTATATAAATAAATTTTTGTTTGTTAAAATAAAATTGTAAACCCTCACAGCACGGGATATTTGAGGATATTCCTGGGACATCCTAGGGATATCTATTTGATTCCGCTGGTTTGGATATCCCTAGGATATCCTAGGATATTATCTGGATATCATAGGGATATTCAAATCGCGGGAAGGAAATGGATATCCACAGGCTGTACCAGGGATATCATTAAATATCCAATGCTGTGAGGGTGAAGAATCAAAATGATATCCCTAGGATATCCTGAATATCCGGATGCTGTTAGGAACTTGAACTATTGATTTTAATTTTTTCAAAAAAAAATTTCCTAACTCGATCTAAATTATTATTTCTAGAATGATTCTTTTATAAATAAAGTGCTGAAAAAAATTTACACTAATTGCAAAATAGGGTCCAATCTTTGAAATTAAGATATAAAATTACCTATTTTAACCGCTAAAAAAGTATTTAAGAATAAGATTATATCATTTTGCAGTGTGTTCATTCCAATTTTAATTAAGTATACGCATAATATGTACAAGTATATATATATACAATATAATATAAAAATTACAATATTAATAAGTCCCGCCAAAAAAAAAAAAAAACTGAAATAGTATTTCAAATATGCGTTTCCTGGATATTTCATTGAATTTCGTCCAAAGTATTATATACAGATAAAATTGAATATATATCCAACATTGGGATTACGTATATATTAATAAAATAAAAAAATATATAACACTTGTATTTTTTTAGAATCAAAATAAATTAGTTAAAGATAATTTTTAACTTTTTTCAAATTATTTACCACTACATATATGTAAATTCTAGGAAATTCCAATAACTGATTTTTTCCCAAGTTACAAAAATAAAAATCATATAATTTTTATCGAAATGGGACTTTCAATTGGAATTTCCAATTGGAATTTTATGCAAAAAATTTTTTCAAATTAATAATTAAATTAATTACTTTAAAAATTTGAGAAGAAATTTTATTTGTCGATAAAAAAATATTTAATATATTAAAATATTCAAGTGTGAATTTCAAAGGGGGGTTTGTTAATTTATTATTTGACAGCTTTTGCGCGTTGAATGTTTCAAAGGGCGCTGCATCTGATGAACTCCAAACTCGAGTTCAGTAGGCAATGCGCGGTCGTCGTAAGAGCATATCTTCCGGATTCGTGTTGAATGACATGTACTGCTGAGTGCAAGGTGAGTGCACACTTCCTTGTTTATGTTCGTACAAGCACATACAGTCTACGTCTGAAAATTCACTAGCTAATGCTCTCTTATTTTGAATTTTTAATTAATCCTTTTACATAAAGCAATTTTTTCACAATTTTTTTTAAATTTCAATTAAATATTTTTTCTTTATTCCACTGAGAAGATAATTTAATAATTTACAGTAAAATAAATTTTGATTGACTAAAGATTATTTTTCCAGGAAAAAAAAAAAAAAAGATTCAAAATTTACAAAATTGAACCGCCGGCGATCAAAAAGGCTTACGCGTAACCGTTGGCCCCTGCGTTCAACGAGTTTTCAGCTATTCCAAGGGCCAATGAAAACCTTAGCCCTTTTGGTCGCGTTTCAAATTGTTTCTTCAATGAAAAATTTATTTTGAAATTTTTTTTAATTAACCAAATTATTTTTTTGCTAAAACATAATTTAATTAATTTGGTTCCTTGTTAAAAATGTATGTCCATATCCATCCTAAAATTTTCTTTAACACCTAAAGGGCGGCAAAATTGAAGCGAACTGGTAAATTTTATTTTTTGTATCTTTTTATATAAAGAAATATGCAAATTTTAATTTATTTGAATTGTGATGCAAGATAAAAGGTAATTATACCTAATGTAAAAATATTATTGTTCGAGTTTATAATGAAGAAAAATTGTTCAGCATGAAAATAATATTTTAGTTTCTTCTTGATGCTTTTTAAGTTTCCTTCACTTTTCATTTTTCATTTTACGTTTCAATATTTCCTTGACTTCTAGACAAATTCACGTTCTTCTGTGTGTATACAAATCTGAAGAATTTTTCCAATGTGTGAATAGCTATCTCTATATTTTTGTGATATTTGCGAGCTTTAAATTATTCTAATAAGCTTTATTTTAATGTTGACAATAATGAAATGCAATTTCCCTCATAGATATATTAAACTTATAAATAAAAATATACAAAACATAAGTATATAAATAATATTATTATAAATATTTTATAGAATAAAAAAAATTATATAATAAATCACAATAATTAATAAATATAATATATATGTTCTGTCTGTAAAGAATAAATTGAGATTTTATATTTACCCTTTGTTATAAATTGAAAAAAAAATTACACGCAACTAAATATTAAGACAATTAAGAATACATTTTTCTTTTGCTCCTATTTGAACATATATAATTTATTCATGAAATTACTAATTCGCGTGTCACTTTATTTTCACCTGCATGTAATAATTCTGAGTAGCAATATTCGAGATATAATTTATTACTGAAAGACTATAAAGGAATGATTATAATTTTTCATTCGAAAAAAAAAAAATTGCAAACCAGATGAACTTTCAAATGTTCATTTTATTAACAGTAAAGACCAAAAGAGAAATATCTCAAGATTAATTTAGATTCTTTATTTGATTATAATTTCTATAAAACTTATTTTATTAATTTATAATTGAGTGTACATTTTAAAATTATTTTTACTGCAAAATTTATTTACGTGTAAATATTTAATGAAATAATGAATTTCTTTTTTTTTTGTTTTATTTTTTTGATGCTTTCATGTGCGAAACCTCATGCGACATTTTTTAAAATGTAAAATACAGTTCCGTTTGTGCCTCTCATTCTCTTTGATTGCCAGGGTGAGTAAAAAGTTTTTTTTTTTTTTTTGTCGTTCTTGCAATTTGCATAGCGAAAACTCCTACATCGAACAAGAAAACTTTGCCGTTGAAACGCCTGCTTTTTCCGGATCAAAAATAACAATTTTTTGAGCGAATATATTTTATCCGAATACTTCAATGGTAAACAAAAATGTTTTTTTTTTTTTATTTTTTTTTTTTATTGTATTCTTCTATTTTTCTCTTGGCAGTTCGTTATTGAGCGCGCTGATGCGCACACGCTGTTCTTTTCACTGTCAGTGAAACATTGAAAAGATATATAGCACAACTGGAGGGAGATTTTTCAAAAGAAGAAATAAAATTGTCAATCGTGTATTACAAACAATTTTTATACTATAGAAAAAAATTGCAAATTAAAAATTTATTTTATCTATTAATAATTTATTATTATTTTATTTTTTATTTTAACATTCCTATTTCTTAGTAAATATAATTATTTTTACTATCTATTGTAAATTTTTTAAATCAAATATGTTTTTTTTTTTTGTAAAAATTACTGATACCAAAGTACATACAATAATTTTCAAGAAAATGAAGAAAAGTAAAGTGTATAGTTAAGTGGGGTAGTGGCCTCACTTAACTGCAACTCGATTTTGCTCTCATAGTCTAATAGCGGAAAATAGGTTTATATTATGTATGCAACGAAATCGAAAAAATAAGCATGTGATTTGTGCGAAACACGCATATATATTCAACTTTTGTGATTCATTTAAATTTAAATAGATGTGAAATTTCCTTGACATATTATTTTTTAATTGAATTAATTAACACTTTAAAAAAAAAAAAATTTCATTAAAAATATATTTATTGAATTGAAAATAAAATTTCAATCAAATAAGTAATAAAAAATTTAAAAAGCAATTTCACGTTTATTTACTTTGCTCGTCTAAGTTTGTGCGATTGGAAAAAATTGTGGTTGTAGTTTAAGCGAATAACTTTTTCCATTACATACATTTTACTGCACGCGGGCGGGAAAAAAGAATGTTACGAGAAAATAATTAGCCATAAAGGTATTGTAAGATAGAATTAGACATTTTTTTTTTTTTACACTATATATATAATTTTCTTTAGACTTTTGTTTTTCAAGACAACTAATTAAAAAGAGAATAAAAATACAAGGCTTATTAAATAATTCAACTATTTTTCATTTATTTTTACATTTGAAAAATATATTTCATTGATTTGCAATAATTTGTATAAATATGTTTAGAACAGTTTGCTATATTTTTATGTCTACATGTTTTTTTTTTTTAAAAAAAAGACATTTGAGTCAATTTTGATAGTTCTGTACAAAAATATAATTCACATGAAAGCATAATTTATTAAATTACAGTAGACATATTATATTTAATTTCATTATCTATTTTCTTATTTACATTACCTACCGCTAACTTATAAATTAATTTTAATCAATACGAAGAAGAAAAAACAATTTTCATATTTCAAAGTTCCACTTTTCATAAATTAAAATAAACTTGAGCAAAAACAAATTATAAAGTTTTAAACGAAAAAATTACTTTTTCAATCAAAAAATAAATTGTTTTACAACTGTTATACAGTATAGAGAAAAAATTTTGAAATAAATTATTGAAACAATATTCGGTCAATATTCGGTCATAATTCGGCCTGTTCATTCTAATGTAGAAAAAATATATGTATTATCTATAAAAAAAAAACGATCAATATTATTTTTTAGAACGTCCTTTACAAATAAGAATATGAATATAATTAAACTTAATATTTATAGTCACCTCATAATATTTAAATCACATTTTTTTACCTAATGAATCAAATGCTCTTTTAATTCGTTTTAATACACCGTCATTAAAAGACGATAACTCCATTCATAATCATCATAGAAAGTATTTTTAAACAATTTTTGAAAAGATTAATAAAATGATCCTTTAGCTCTATTAATAAATAGAAATAAAGAATCATTTAATAAAAATTATTTATACTGTTTTTTCTTTTTGTGCACTAAAAAAAATTTGGAATCACATTAATTTTACGCATCAACAGGTTTTGTCACGTTCTTCTCATCTTTATCAACATCATTCACTTTCTGCATGGCAATTTCATAAGCGGCCTTTCTCTTTCTACCCGAGCAACTTGCAAAACATGTATCCCCAAGTCCAAAATTTTCACCATCCTCCAATGATTCTGGCATAGGTTGATTAACCGTCTCAGGTAAATAGAGTGCCAAAAATCCCGAGACAATTGCTATAAATCCAAAAACAATTGGTGGTACTTTTGGATTAAAGGAATCCAATAACATAATCATTGGTGTTAGAGCACCACTTAAACGTGCGCACATTGATCCAATTCCAAGTGCCGTATTCCTTACTACCGTCGGGAACAATTCAGCCGTGTAATTGTAAATTATAGCAAACGATCCTGCGATGCACGATTTACCCAACAGGCTGATAAATGTGATTGCTCCCTTTTCATCCTCAGGCACCTGTGTTGCACTGATGCAGCATATTCCACCAACAAGCATAAACGTACTCAACAAACTTCTTCGTCCAGTACGATCCATAAGACATGTTGTAAAAGCATAACTTGGAATTTCAACAAGTCCACTAAAGAATAACATCAAATAAGGATTGCCATCTAAATTCTTCGCATTTAACGAGAGACCATAATAGGCTATTGAATTCGCGAACCAATTTAAACAAACGTTTAATGTCTTTTTTCGAAGATTCGGTGTTTTAAACAAATCCAATCCTCCATAAGAGCGTTCCTCTTGTGTCGATCGTTGAGCTTTATTCTTCGTAACAAGAGACGCAATATCCCTTTGATCAGTGCATCCATTCATCTTCAATCCTTTCTGAACTATCGCTACTGCTTCACGAACTCGTCCCTGTGCCCATAACCATCTTGGAGATTCGTCCATTAACCACCAATGTCCCACCAATAATACACTATGTAGGCCATAGATTATTTGCAACCACATTCTATCCTTAATAACAGCGCCCCAAGCAGCCACCAACATAAAACCACTCGCAAAACATACCTGAAACATTATTCCACAAATGGTTCTTTTCGATGGACCAACTAATTCCATTGTTAGGACAAAACCAGTAATATAAGCTCCAGCTGATCCAAAAACACCATACAGAAATCTAACAACAAGGAACGTATAATATTCCGGCACTAGAGCAACCAAAACACCCAAAATCAATTGTGCCACTGATGAAACATAGAAAATTATTTTCCTTCCATATTTATCAGCCATGCTACCTAAAATAACAGCACCGGCAAATACACCAAACATATAGGTTGATTGTGCAATTGCTCCCATCCATTTTCGTGAGCAAACAAAATTCCACTCCATACCGCGTGAAGATTTATAATACGTTGTATTATAAGTCCAAGCTTCACATGTTTTTGTATTATTATTTTCATCAAAATAAATACAACTATTGTCATCTACTGCTCTTGGACCATGATGAAAATGAGACTCATTCCATGAATTGTCATCAAGCTTAAATGTTGAATCAATTGGTCGAAAATCAGTTACATTTAAGTCAAATGTAGGTAATAAACACTTGTGATCGGGTACTGCTGCAACGGTTGTCAATGTCATCATATGAAGTCCTGCTGTTAATCCAGCTATTATATGTAATGCAAATTGCCAGGCTTGATATTTTCCAAATTCCCCAAGATGCGACATCATCTCCTCCAAATCGGTATCCACACTCGCCATTTTGGAATGATTATCCTGTCAACACTGACGTTACAAAAAAGAATCCTATTAGAATTTTTTATTATAGGATCGAAATTTCGAAAAAGGGTAATTTAATCAATGATTGATGGTCCATGATGAAATTGTAAAAATCTATAAACGGTTTTCAACTTTTATAGTATGTTCTATTGTAAGTAGGTACAACAAAAATTCAATTTAGGTCTACTATGATCTAAATGTAGGTCAAATGTTCAAAGTAGATCAAATAGGTACAGTTGAGGTATAATGCAGGTTGAATTTAGGTTTACAGTAGATTCATAATTGGATCATTGTAGGTCCAATGTGGGCTAAATGTAGGTCAAAAGTTCAAAGTAGGTCAAATGTAGGTACAATTTAGGTCTAACTCAGGTTGAATTAAAGTTCAAAGGAGGTTCATAGTTAGTTCATTGTAGGTTCAATATAGGTTCAAAGTAGAGTTAAAGTAGGTTCAATATAGGTTCAAGGTAAAGTTAAAGTAAGTTCAATGTAAGTGAAAAGAAAATTAAATATAGGTTCAAGGTGAAGTCAAAGTAGGTTCAATGCAGGTTTAAAGAAAGTTTAATATAGGTCCAATGTAGGTTAAATGTGAATCAAATGTAGGTTCAATGTAGATCCATTGTGCGTTCAAAATAGGTCAAATGTAAGTACAATTTAGCTCTAATACTGGTTGAATTTAGCTTCAAATGTTCAAAGTAGATCAAATAGGTACAGTTCAGGTATAATGCAGGTTAAATTTAGGTTTACAGTAGATTCATAGTTGGATCATTGTAGATCCAATGTGGGCTAAATGTAGGTCAAAAGTTCAAAGTAGGTCAAATGTAGGTACAATTTAGGTCTAACTCAGGTTGAATTAAACTTCAAAGGAGGTTCATAGTTAATTCATTGTAGGTTCAATATAGGTTCAAGGTACAGTTAAAGTAGGTTCAATATAGGTTCAAGGTAGAGTTAAAGTAGGTTCAATGTAAGTTAAAAGAAAATTAAATATAGGTTCAAGGTAAAGTCAAAGTAGGTTCAATGCAGGTTTAAAGAAAGTTTAATATAGGTCCAATGTAGGTTAAATGTGAATCAAATGTAGGTTCAATGTAGATCCATTGTGCGTTCAAAATAGGTCAAATGTAAGTACAATTTAGCTCTAATACTGGTTGAATTTAGCTTCAAATGTTCAAAGTAGATCAAATAGGTACAGTTCAGGTATAATGCAGGTTAAATTTAGGTTTACAGTAGATTCATAGTTGGATCATTGTAGATCCAATGTGGGCTAAATGTAGGTCAAAAGTTCAAAGTAGGTCAAATGTAGGTACAATTTAGGTCTAACTCAGGTTGAATTAAACTTCAAAGGAGGTTCATAGTTAATTCATTGTAGGTTCAATATAGGTTCAAGGTACAGTTAAAGTAGGTTCAATATAGGTTCAAGGTAGAGTTAAAGTAGGTTCAATGTAAGTTAAAAGAAAATTAAATATAGGTTCAAGGTAAAGTCAAAGTAGGTTCAATGCAGGTTTAAAGAAAGTTTAATATAGGTCCAATGTAGGTTAAATGTGAATCAAATTTAGGTTCAATGTAGATCCATTGTGCGTTCATAATAGGTCAAATGTAGGTACGATTTAGGTCTAACTCAGGTTGAATTAAACTTCAAAGGAGGTTCATAGTTAGTTCATTGTAGGTTCAATATAGGTTCAAGGTAAAGTTAAAGTAGGTTCAATATAGGTTCAAGGTAGAGTTAAAGTAGGTTCAATGTAAGTTAAAAGAAAATTAAATATAGGTTCAAGGTAAAGTCAAAGTAGGTTCAATGCAGGTTTAAAGAAAGTTTAATATAGGTCCAATGTAGGTTAAATGTGAATCAAATTTAGGTTCAATGTAGATCCATTGTGCGTTCATAATAGGTCAAATGTAGGTACGATTGAGGTCTAACTCAGGTTGAATTAAACTTCAAAGGAGGTTCATAGTTAGTTCATTGTAGGTTCAATATAGGTTCAAGGTAGAGTTAAAGTAGGTTCAATTTAAGTTAAAAGAAAATTAAATATAGGTTCAAGGTAAAGTCAAAGTAGGTTCAATGCAGATTTAAAGAAAGTTTAATATAGGTCCAATGTAGGTTAAATGTGAGTCAAATGTAGGTTCAATGTAGATCCATTGTGCGTTCATTAGAGGTCAAATCTATGTACAATTAAGGTCTAATACTGGTTGAATTTAGCTTTAAAGTAGGTTCATAGTTGGTTCATTGAAGGCTCAATATAAGTTGAAGGTAGAAGTAAAGCAGGTTCAAAGAAAAATATGGGTTCAAGGTAAAGTTAAAGTAGGTAATGTAGATTCAGATCCGTTTAAAGTAGGTCAAATATGTGGATACAATTTAAGTCTGATACAGGTTGAATTTAAGTTCATAGTAGGTTCATAGTTGGTTAATTGAAGGTTCAATATAGTTTCAACTTAGAATGAAAGTAGGTTCAATGAAAGTTCAAATAAAAATATAGGTTCAAGGTAGAATCAAAGGTTCAATGTAGGTTCAAAGAAAGTTTAATATGGGTTCAATGCAGGTTAAATGTGAGCCAAATGTAGGTTCAATATAGATCTATTGTACGTTCAAAGTAGGTCAAATGTACGTACAAATTAGATCCAAGTTTAACAAGGTCAAATTTAGGTTAAATATAGGTTAAATTTTGGTTAAATGTAGGTTAAATACAGGTTTTATGAAGGTTCACAGTACTTTTAATGTAGGTTCAATATAATTTCAAAATTGTGTGTGAAGAATGATTTGTATTAAATTATTACTATTATATTAATAGTAATTAATATTATTATATATTATTGTTACCTTTTTTTCAAAAACTTTTTTTAATTTAAAGGTATATAACAGATAATAATGACACTTAATCATACTTAATTCCTCACATAATAATTATATATTATAATCTTTTAACCGCTAACTTCAGTTTAAAAAAAAATAAAAACCTGTCATAAAAGGTTGGTTATCTTCAAATACATGTTACTTTTAAACTAAATGTTTTGTAGTTAATAGTTTGAAAGACACTTTAAATTAAAGTATAATATATAAAAATAAATTTGTTCAATATAAAAAAGTTCAAAAGTTCAATTTTCATCAATATTGACGTTAACCAGATTCCAAAGTTTCAAATAATAAAACGTGCATTTTTCATAGCAGAATCTTTTTTCATTGTACTAAATTTATAGACTTTAAAAGGTTACATCTAAATTACCATTAGCATTGAACGCTTTTTATGTTTCAATTTAATGTTATTGCTAGTATAAACATTGAATAACCGTGAAACTACTATGACATTAAAATGCATTATATACCTTTAAATTAAGAGAAAATAAATCCAGTACCGAAAACTTTTTCATCAAACTATTTTACTTGACACTATTCTGTTTTTTTTTTTCTGTAACTTACACTTGATTGAGTAGGTAGGTGCACTTTTTGTTTTTCGGAGGAATAATTTTCTTCTAGATTCCAATTGTGTCTGATATATGAATATCAGTCTCACGTCACGAGAAACATTATTATGGAAAGCGAGTTGAATATATACGAACGATAGTAACCTTCCTCTTTGAAGGATTGATCACAGGAGAATGGAGAATGGATTCGATTATTTTAAGATGATAAATACTTTCGATGCGCTCGTTGCTTTCAAATATTTCTTTCCACAAAAAAAGGTGCGTCATTCGGTCCAGAGTGTTTTTAGTTGATAAAGATCATATATTCTAAAATGTTTCATTTCATTTTGTATCCATCCCGATAATGAACGGCTGAAATGGATAAAATAAAATTAGGATTTGAAAGCAATGTTAGAAAAATGTTAACTTTATGGGTATTAAAAAAAAAGTGGACGTGTGAGTTTAATGTAATCGCCTTTCTCTTCAATGATAAAAAGGAGATATTGAAGTTTTACAACTTAGAATTACAGTATAAAATATAAATTGGATTTTCATGGTAGATTTAGATTTTTTTTTATTGTTTGCTATTCATTTACTAATAGTTTAATTTATTTTATGTGTTTTATGAGTCGCTAATCGAAAACCCAACATCAGAATTTCATAATTCAAAATGTCGGATCCAATATGGCTGACGATATATTACAAATTAGTTTGGAATTTCTTGAAATGTGGAAACATCCCTTGTAATTATAAATAGTTTTTTTTTTTTATTTATTTACATATTTTAATGTGTTTATTTCTTTTGTACATTTTTTTCGAAGTGAAAAAAATGTTAGTTTTATAATTTTTATATAAAATTGATTGGAAACCTGTTTTAAAATTTAATTAGCAAGTCATATGTGTTCCACTGACCGCGAAAAGAAAATATTAAAAAAAAAATATATATATATAAGTCGAACAAGTGTAACAATAATTGTTAACCGATTAACCTACACTGCTTCTTTCAATTGAAACAATGTGTTCAAGAACATTTAAATGTTACGCATTTTAAAAAGACTTTGTCCTTTTAAAACTAAGCTCACTATCGTCATAAATCATCAAGGAATATAGTTGAGTTAAAGAAATATTGATGTCATTAGAAATATAAACACACTTTTAGAATTTTTTTTTTTTTTTTTTGTTTTTGTTTTTGTAAAAGGCAATATATAAAGGCAATTATGTGTGCTTACTCAAATAACTGATAATTTTTTTTTATGTTTAGAATTTGTTTAGAATTATTTTTTTTTAGAATTTTTTCTAGCCTAATATTTTTACAAAAATCATAATTATTGAAAATAATAAAAATTGTTGTTTGTATTTAAACAATATGTATTTTTAATCAATCGCCTTTTGATGATAAATCAAATAACTTTGATAAATAAAATTCTCGACATGAGACCTATACTTGATATTATTTAGGTTACTTGTGAGAACATTTTATTATATTTCCACATTCCCTAACTATACTTATTAAATACACGCAAAGTGAAAATAATTTTAAGCCATTGACACATTTATGAATGAATTCATAACATAAAGTTGAAAAGCAAGTTTCTTCATTTATTTTATTTTATCAAGGAAATATATCATAGACAATCATAGAATTATTCGCCTTCATCACAGATTTCTTCATTCTATAGAACTAAGAAATATATTTGTTGAGATATAGAAAACTTAGTTAAAAAAAAAAAATTTACTGCTTTTTATATTAATATTTTGTTAATTAATTAATTAATTAATTTTAATAATTTTCTCATTATATTTGATATTTTATTACTAAATTTATTATTTTATATTTATTTTTTATCATACATTTTATTTTTAGATTATTTATTTACTCAATATTTATTTTGTTGGTGTATGAAAATTTATACAAATTTATTTCATGAAAAGGTGGTAATATAACAATAACTTTTACATAACTTTTGTTTGGTGAAATTTATTTTTGGTTTACAACGCGACCCATATTCTTGGCATTAGAATATATCTTGCCAGGGAAGAAATCTATGTAAACCAAATAAAAAAATTTCAAAATAGATAAACATTCTTTCGTTATTGTGGAAAAAAGATAACTCAATAATAAAAGATACTTTTTTTTTTCTCTGAGAAATAATTCTCTCGTGTAAGAATGTATAAATTTTTAAAAGTGCGCTATCAGTTTAATTTTAATACATTATCATTTCTTTTTATTTAGCTGCGTAGCTTAAAGTTAAAAATGTTAATATTTATGCAAAAGATTGTTCCACGCATAAAACTCACTTTTCTATAGTATTTTTTTTTTTTTTTTTTACGGAAGGTAACAAGTCAATATTCAAAATATATTGAAAAAAAATTATTTTACATTTTTATTTAATTAAAAATTTAAAAAAAAACTTATTTATTATAATTATAATAAATCAGTAAAAGAAAATTTTTGTTAAAATTAATTATGTACCAGTTTAATTTTTATAAATACGATTTTTTTTTATTTGTTACCTAATTTTACCATGACTTTACTGAAAAAATAATCAATTAAAATTTTTCTCACCTCTTTTTGTATAATTTTAAAAAAAATTTCATTTGCATAAATTTTAATCTAATAAATAATTTGAGGACTTACTTTTATCAATTCTTCGACACTGATTCAAAACGAGAAGTCAAATTATAATAGATACATTTTAATGTAATAAAAAAAAAAAAGAATTTTTCTAAAAATTTTGAAAGATTTTCACGGGATGTGAAAAATTTTTTAGAAATATGAATATCTGTAAACTTTCTTAACGCGATTTAACAATAAACGTCCGATGCCAATGAACTCGGATACGCAAGTGGAAATGAAACGATCTAAGCGTTTTCCATTGGTCCCAAATATAACGCAACTATATATTAGCGGAGTTGTACTCAAGTAGTGGAAATAGATATATACAGAATGTATTTTATATATGCGCACACTTTTCAAGAATTATCCATTATTTATCGACTGTGGATAAAAAAAAATACTCAATATATATACATACATTTACAGAAAATAACTTCAATGATTTTTCAAATCTGATCTCGAATGCAAATTGTTGGTGCTACAAATTGCTTAATTGTTTTTTTTTTTTTTTTTGAATCTACATATTTCTGTTATTTAAAATAGAAAAATAAATTTTTTTCAATTCAAAAATTTTCGATTTTTTTTCGTCCGCCATATTGGATCCGCCATTTTGAAGTTTTTTAAATCTTGTATATAATTTGTATAATCAATTGTTTAATCTTGGAAAATCAATTTTTTGTCAAAAAATATAGTAATTGATCAATTATATTGTTTATATTTTACAATCGCTGATTTTCTTTAAAATTGTTAGTAATTGTTTCTTAAAACAAACTATGATAACAATTTTTTTTTGTTTTCTATAGCAGGCTGAAATTTTTGTACATTATTTGTCGTTATCAGTCCCTCTATTAGAGTAATTGACATTTGACCTACTATTTTGCTTATTTATTCACGTTTCACATAAATATATCTAATATAATAATTTATAAAATTTGAAAAAAAATTAAGAAAATAAAATAATTTACGTCAAATTTAAAAAAAAAATATATATTTTCTTTCTCTAAAAATTTAATGTTTAATTTTAATTATTCTAATTTTCAAAATATATAATAAATTCCGTATTTGAAAGATAAACTTAATACTCAGTATTTTACTCCAGAAATTGAGGAGAAAAAAATTAAAAAAAAAAAAAACTAGAATATTAAAAGTCTTGTGATATTATAATTATAATGTCATAAATGATGCAAGAATCTTTTAATTACACAATTTCCTTAATAACTGATTCAGCATTTTTGTTTCTGTACATTATATAGGTAATTCTTTCACCTTTATCTTGTTTATCAATTTTCGTACAATATATTTTATATTAAATTAATATTGCCCTAATTTTTACTTTGATTAATCACAAAATTAAATTATTTATTATTATTATTATTATTTATTTTTATTTATTTATTTTATGTTTGTAGTTTTTAATTTAATTTAAATTTTAAATGTTATTTAATAACTTAAAGCAGTTTCATTAAAATCACTAAAATGAGATTAAAATTACTTACCACCTATTGAGAGAGTGCGGAGGAAACAATAATGCAAGAATCTGTAATTTTTAAATTAATTTTACAAAATTTAAATATTCTTTTTTTTCAAAAAAAGTATTAAATATAGAAAAGATGATAAAAATATATTTTGTTGAAGTTTTTTTTTTTTTTTGTTATTGATATCAACTTTTTATTTTGCATAATTTGTTTTTAAAAATAATCACGAGTTAATCTCATTTTTATAATTTACTCACTGAACACACAGTATTTAATTAATGTTAACTCAAGTGATCTTTACACATGATAGAAAGTTTTAAATTTTATCATATAAGAAACTGCACAAATAATATTCAATACTAAAAGAAATTGGGGTGGAAATCAAGAACAAAATAAAGTAAGAAAAAAATATATATATATTGTATATAGTAAATATATATAGAGAGTAAATTACCTACCATTTTAACGATAAAAAAAAATAGGGAACACTTTCTATAAGCAAATTAGAGCGATTGTTGTCTTTGAATGATTAATAACTATACACGCACACTAAGAATTAATAAAGTTTGCTAATGAATTTGTAAATGCTTGTCGTTACAGTGCAAAGAATGATTGAAGAAATATTGTTTTTTTTTTACGAGATCGGTTGTATACGCTAATTCCACGTGAATGATCCAATAAGTTTAAATGGATTTTATAGCTCGTCATTCCTCGTGGCGAAAAACGAGACTTCCCACTGATTTTCTAGTCAGCTGATTACTACCGTATACTTGAAAACACTGTGACTTTAATTTTATACAGTTAATTAGTGAAATTAATTAAAAAATAAAAAAAAAACATTGTTAATTAATTTGAATGGAAAAGAAAAAAAAAGCAGAAATTTATTACTGTAAGCATACAAAATTAAAAAATATAAAATTATTATTTATTTGATTCAAATAAAAATTATACAGAAATAATTATATAATAATAAAATGCTTGGTCTGTCCTTCTGTCCTAACTTCAAGTTGGTCTTTACTGATTTCACATGTTTTTCGAATTGTAATGTTATGACGTATCAAATTTGTGTCACATTTTGAAAATTCTTTTTCTTATTTTAGTTGTATAATTGTGTTTTTAAATTTTGGAATTGGTTTACTTTAAATTTTTTTTTTTATAATAAACAATGTCAGATACAATTTCGCGCGCTTGGTTTAATTTTTCTAGTATTTTATAATAGTCAAGATTATTTGGAAAAATTAAATTTTTTTAATATTTTTGCTTTCTTTATTATACTTATAGTTTTGAAAGTATTTCCCCTTTAATATTTTTTTGTAATCAATTTTTTTTCACTATATATATATATATATGGAAAAGTAATTTTCTGAAAAGAAGTTTAATCTATAAAAGTTAACTTCCTTATAAACTGTATATTATAAATTCACTTGTAGCGTTAGCCTGTTTATCAGCAATATATTTTAACAAACTTATATATATATGTTGATTAAAATCATAGTTTCATAAATAGGGGTTATTACACAATTTTTTTCACTATTACTTGCTCGCATAATCTATATATTTTCAAATTTTTATTATATATCTCAACATTGTAATTAGATTAAAATGAAAAAAAAAATTGCACGTTTAATATAAAATTTTGAAATAGTGAATTTACACGAAAACAATTTAATTTCGTCCTTTCCTTTCACGATTAAGCAATTTTTATTTTTTAGAAATATAAAAACTGAATTGAAGAAACATCCAAGAAGACTTAATTTGAAAACACTAAACATCAAATTTCTTTTCGCTCTTGACAATTGCAATATACGGGCAACTTGAAAATCTGTCGAATGTTGGTTATTCGATCGTGTACAGGATGTACGCACTTCTTGAAGGGCTTTAGTTTCGTCTTTAAAGTATCTTGTTCCTTTTCCGGAACAGGACACCTTCATTCTTTATTATGCGCGCGATTGCCATATAGGACCTGAAGGTCGAGTCTCATCATAAAAATTTAGAGGCTTCTTCCGACGGAAAATAAAACATTTCCTCTCATTATATTCTTGAAAATTCTACATATTTACATATATACAATTCACTATTTTATTAATTTTTTTTTTACTTTTTTCATTGTTTAAAATATATAATACAATTTAAATTATACAATTATTTTGATAGAATTTTAGAATTTAATGTACGAAAAAAAAAAATACTTTTATCATTTTACTGTGATATATTATTTTTTTTAACGCTCAAAAGCTATAACTCCAGAAAACTGGGTAGATTGATTTGTTCCCTGACTCTAAAACTAACGCTTATATTTTTATTGTGCGAAACTTATTTTAAAAATAAAAAATTTATTGTACTATAAAGTTTTTTTTACGAGAATAGTTATACATTCTAGAGGGTAAATGAAATCCGGTAGTTTCCAAAAAATTCAAAAAAAAAAAAAAACTGTATTTATTTTAAATAAAAAAAGGGGTAAAAAATTTAAAGGAAATAATTGAAATTAAATATAATTACTTTTAATCACAAAAAAAAATTTAATAAATTTTATTATTTTTGCGTTATATACCTATGTACAATTCAATACATAATGCACTTTATCGATTAGTATCGCCTTCCTAAATTTCTATTATATCATGAAATTTACATCCTCCACTATACACTCATATCATATTAGAATTAATTAATGGACTAAGTAATTAGGCTGCAAATTACTTTAATTATAAAATTATGTTTTGTGCCGTTGGCACTTTCTGAAACTAAAGTAGTATCAATTTCATAAATGTGTTTAATAATTTAATTTAATTTATTTAATTTAACAAAAAAAATTTAATCAAAAAGTAAATTTAGAATATTTAGCGCTATATACATAAAAGTTTTCAGCAACATCTTTGAAGGAAAAGGAAACATTTTTTGTAATGATGAAAACAAGAAAAGTTAATTAAAGAACAATATTTGTTTTCAATTTATACAAAGAAGCATTTAAAACAAATCATTAAACATGAAATTCGATGACAGAATGATTCATTTTCAAATGTGCGTACTATTGGCAAGCTCATATATAATTGAGTCAAATGTGCGCGTGTCCCTAATTGATTGAAATCATTCTTATAGCACTAGTGACTGTCAGTGATATGATTCCCTCTACAAAATAGACGAGTGTGTGACTTTAATATGGTAATGACCCGAGCCTTTGTACATATAATGTCACTTTTACAGCCTTGGCTCTCCTTTCTTGTTTTTCTCCTACATAAATTCACTCGAGGAAATTAAATATATTTTCAAAATCATATATAGATAATCATATATATTTTTTTATATTAATTCTATAAAATCTTAATTACATTTTCATTGATTCAGAAATAAATGTAAAAAAAATAAAATATTGATAAAATTACATATAAGAACATTTAGGAATTTTATGAGCTTGTTTTTCTATGGATAAATATATATATGTAGAATTTATTTCTATAAGTGCAATAAAAATTCAAATTTGAATCTGTCCTCATTGCCGTCAAGTCACGTTATCGAGAGACTTAGTTTGATTAATTGGTGAGATTAAGAGTCCCTTATAGCGTAATTGCTAAAGAAATACTGTGTTTATGGCTTAGATCACATAATCTTTTTAGTCTTTGACCTTAAAATTAATATACTTTTTGGATGAATTAACTGGTATTAGAAAGATGAAAAACATACTTTAAATATATACCTTTGTACAGGAAATTGTAGTTTCATGGCAAAAGACATTCTTAAACAGGCAAAAAGGAGGTAACAATGCCAAATCATCGAGATATCGCCGCAGTAGATAATTTCTATATAGTTAACTAGAAACTATGTAGAAACTATGTAGAAACTATGTAGAAACTATGTAGAAACTATGTAGAAACTATGTAGAAACTTTGTAGAAACTATGTAAAAACTATGTAGAAACTATGTAGAAACTATGTAGAAACTATGTAGAAACTATATAGAACTATGCAGAAACTAGATAGTATAACTGTGAGGATTTTTCTACACAATCTAGACAGTTTCTATATAGTCAACTATTCAGAAACTAGACAGTAATTAACTTTTATTCATTCAGAAATTAGATAGATTCTACACTGAAAAATTATTCTAAACCTATTCTACAAATAATCTAAATGCACTAAATAGTTTCTGCAAAATTTAAATATCTACAAAGTAAATAGTATAACTATCTACACCTAGATGCAGAAAAGAATTCCTATTTAGTTAACTATCTAAAAACTGGATAGTAATTATAGTTAAAAACTATTTAGAACTTAATAGAACTATATATAACTATGTGGAAACTAGATAGCATAACTGTCCTAACCGTTCTAAATAATGTAGAGGCAGTAAATAGTTTCTATGTAGTTAACTAGATATAACTATATAGAACTGTATAGAACTGTATAGAACTATATAGAACTATGTGGAAACTAGATAGCAGAACTGTCCTAACCATTCTAAATAATGTAGAGGCAGTAAATAGTTTATATATAGTTAACTAGATAGAACTATATAGAACTGTATAGAACTGTATAGAACTGTATAGAACTGTATAGAACTGTATAGAACTGTATAGAACTGTATAGAACTGTATAGAACTGTATAGAACTGTATAGAACTGTATAGAACTGTATAGAACTATATAGAACTATGCAGAAACTAGATAGCAGAACTGTTTAAACCTCTTTATAAATAATCTAAAAACTTGTTGATCGTAGAATTTTCAATAAATTCAAATGAATATAAAAGAATTATACAGAAATGGAATTATTTTCTCATAATTATTGAATTATTTCTTGTGCTGAACATGTATACACAATTTCCCGTACATAAATTGACGAGAACTGGTATTTGAATTAAACTGCAAATATATCCAATTTCTTCTTCAGGACACAGGCAAAATTGTATAATTAAAAGTTGTCTGTCGATAATTACATGTTCTCCAATGATCATGAACATAAAAATCGTTGAATTATACAAATTCGTATGTGAAATGTCAGCAATGGTGTCAGTGTGTCATTGAATGGAAATTGCAAATTTTAGATGTGCTAGCATTACTAGATGTGCGTTAATGTAAAACTTTCACTTATCAGAATATAAAAAATTACAATTTAATATAAAGTATACGTAATTACAATAAATTGAATACATGGAAAAAAAAACCTTTAACTGGAACAGCGATAAGTTTCACTGGAAAACATAAATATATTTCACTAAAACAACGAAAGTTTCCTCTATTCTAAAGAAACATATCGCTGTTCCAAATAAAGATTTTTTTCCTTGTATTATACAATCTATTAAATTCGATGATAATTTTTAAATTTTTATAATAAATTCACATGGGAAATGTTTACTGTATATTTTAATACTAATTACTAATTAATTACTAATTTCGGATCTTTTAAATAAATTTTAAAAATATTTATATTTAGAAATTTTTTACTACCAACGTCTATGGCAAAATTATATTACACCTAAAACGTATATAATATGCGTGACACTAATGTAACTTCAACCCGGATAAAAGTATAATTTTATTCACGTCCCTTTAAAAGTATATCGACTTTATAATCAATAAATGCTGAAATCTCCTTTGATTTGTAAAGCATATCATGATCAGATCAGGTAGAAACAAAAAAAAAAAAAAAAGGAAAAAGAAGAGGGTACGGCATATGAGGCATGGCAAAATCAGAAGGAGCGATGCTGTAAGGTATAAGGTGCCCCACATCACAGTTGTGCGGTGACCGTCTAAGGGAGTGGAACGGTTTTCCGGTTCAACGTATTCCACTTAATATTTCCACTTTATTCAATAAATTAATTCATTTTTAAATTTGTTTTTTTAAAAAGAAAAGTGTGAAACAAACTTTCTAAAATTAATTTTTTAGTTTTATTTTTTACTGTCATAAATAAATTGTAAACTTCTAATTATTTGAATAATTGTATACCGGAAATAAGAGTTTCGCGCCACATTAAGTTCAGTGTAAACATTTGTAACATCTTCATTACTACTCTTACTGTTTGCCATTTAATGGCATATTATTACTCGAAGGTAGACTTATTAAAATAATTCTAATTGATTTATCAAATAGATTAATAATTTTATTAACTACATTAATTAATAAATTATAATGATTACCAATTAACATTTTAATATAAGAAAAATTCCAATATTCACTTTTTATGTAGTATATGATTTTTCGCATAGTAAAGTGAAAGCATGCTTGTAATTCAACAATAATTTATTAAAGCAATAGTGCGTAAAATTAAAATAAAACCAATGCAGTTAGAGATTATATAATTTAAACTTTAATGAAATATTTCGTATGACCTATTGATTTCAGGCAATCAATGTTTCTTGAAAATATTTTTAACCTTTGGTTAAAGCGCACTCATATCGCACACGTTTCGGACACCGTAATACGTGACATCTCATCTCGTTTTATTTATAATTTTGTTAAAATAATATTTTATCTTTTAAAGTATTAATAAACAAATACAAAAAATAATTAATAAAGATATTAATATCATATGCTAAGAAAATTAATATTTTATTTATTAATAACATTATACCAAAAAAAAAAGAAAAGGTATATTAATTATTAAAAATTTTTAAAAATATCAAAAAAAAATAATATTGATGTTATAAATATTCAAAATATTATTTGAATGTCTTTTTCGAGAAAAATTTATAAAATTTAAATAACAACTGTGTTTATTTTTTCCAAAGCTGCAAACTAAATATTTATCAAGATTTAAAATTTTTAATGTAATTTTAAATATGAAATAAAAAAAATTTGATATTAATTGAAAATTTTTAAATATTATAAATATTTCAAATTCTTCGAAATATATACCGGATTCTCATTGATTACGTACACGGGAAACGTTCATATAATCACAGATAATAAACAGTCATTGATTCTATTATACATTTACATGATTTGAATAAAACAAATTCTAATTTCATATTTATATTGAATTCGAAATAAATGAGCTTCAATTAATAAAGATTGCTGTAATATAAATTTGTTTTAAAAAATATGAAATTATTTTGAAAATATTTCTCTCATTGTTTTATTTTTTTATGCTTCGTTTTCATATTTTGAAATTCTATATTATATTTATTCAATTTATTTTATATTTATTATATTCTCAGCAATTTTTTTTAAATAAAAAAACATGAAGATAACGATCACTCCGAGTCAAGGCAAACAAAAGAAAACAAAACTTTTTAATTTAATTTTTTTTTTTTAAATATTTTAATATTCAACAAAAATATATTAAATATAATTTATTAAATAAATTACTATAAAAAAAACGATGCTATAAAAAATATGATTATGGATAATTATTTTTAATTAATTGTAAAATTATTTAAAATTCTTTTGTTGATTAACAATTAAATTTTTAAGTGAAATCTATTGTAGTACAGGTAGTATTAATTCTTCATTTGTGTCTCGTGACATTGTGATTCCTTGACATGCTGCGCGTGCAAAACGTGAAATTATTTGTAATGATCACTACCTTCACCTGATTTACAACAATAAGAAAAAAAGGTGGAACTAAACATCCACAATATCAAATTTCTATTTCATGTCTTAAAATTTTATACGACCTTTTTATTCCCTATATAATTTGTAATATATTTTTTTATTTAAATTAATAAATTAGGTAATTTTTCAATTTTCTTTAATTAAAAAAAAAAAAAAAAAATAGTTTTACATTCCAAGAAATGACAAAAGAAAATTTTACTTCTAAATAATGTAAATTTTTATGGGGAAATTAATTTTTAATTTATTAATTAATGTTGAAAATAATAAATGTAATTTTTTTCAGGTCTATCCATGATATGACCCAGTCTCGAGAGATCCTCGCTATGATGGACACACATACGACGTTTGGTCGAAAAAGGGGTTGTACAGTTTCAAGATGCGGAGGTTTTTTATTAGGATCGGCTTTCCTCTTGGGCCTTGTTACAACGGGACTTCTAGTCTTCCACTTTGCTCCATGTTTAGAGGGGAAAAAAATAAGATCATATGAAGATTTTTTTGGCAATTCAAATCTTCAAACAATAAAAGCATTAGGAAATAAAAATAAAATTGATGTCAGACTTCCAAGATCTGTTTTACCTGATTTCTATGAGCTGAAATTAACACCCTTCATTTGGGAGGGTAACTTCACTTTCAACGGCGAGGTGATTCTTTCCTTCTAATTAAAAATTTAGGTGAATTTCTCCGCGATTAGTCTATTTTGAATAAATTTCAAGTCACATTAGTTTAATTTTCTCTATTTTTTAAATTAATTCTTTTTTTTTATAATAAAATAAAAATATTATAACAAATCATTCGTAGGATAATTAATAATTAAAAATTAAATATTTAAAATCAAAATTTCGAAATTTTAGTAAAAATTGCTTATTAGAAAATAAATTTTTATTTTTTTTTTTTAAAAAAGTTATATTTTATTAAATATTTGTTGATATTTCAGGTGAAAATATTAGTTAACGTCACGGAGAAGACGAAAAATATAACACTCCATGCAGTTGATTTGAAAATCGATGAAAAAGTCACAAGTGTCAATGAATATAGTCAGAATAATAAATCGAAATTTTTAAAAGTTGAAAATCAACAAAATGACACTGCCCGACAATTTTTTATAATAAAAACAACAGAATATTTAAAACCTGGAAAACAATATACAGTGTACCTGAAATTTAAAGGCAATCTCAATGATTATCTTCAAGGATTCTATAGAAGTTCTTATAAAGTAGATAATCAAACAAGGTTTGATTTTAATTTTTAATCAATACAAATTTTTTATACTATAATTAAATAATTATTATTTTATATCAATTTCTTATTAACTTTTAAATATTATTTAAATTAATAATTAATTTAATTACACTAAAAAAAAAACCTTTACCAAGATCAACAATATTTTTCACTAAAATAGAGAAAGTTTTCCCTATTCTAGAGAAATATATACATATATATAGTTGTTTCAGATATACTTATCGCTGTTCGAGGTGAAGATTTTTTTTGCGTAGGATAAATATTTTTAATTGTATATATATATATATATATATATATATATATATCGTTTAAGGGACAATAATACTTATTTATTACAATAATCTCTTAAAATTTTTATATCGAAATTTATCAATAATAAAGTGAAATTATTTAGAAGAATTAATTATAAATAATTATTCCTGAGAAAGTTGTTAAACTTGAAAGTCAAGTTTCCATAGAGGGAAATATAGCAAGTTTAACAAGTAACCCAGCTCTTTATATACACATATATATATATGTTGTTACAAAGCAAACTGGGTTCATCTAACTGAACGTTTGATGATTCTGCATTATAGATGGATAGCGACGACGCAGTTTCAACCAACCGACGCTCGTCGCGCTTTTCCCTGCTTTGATGAACCAGCACTCAAAGCCAAATTTCAAATTAGTATTGCAAGACCAAAGAATATGACTTCCGTTTCAAACATGCCTCTAAAAGGGGAACCAGTTCCAGTGTAAGTTTACTAGAAAAATACAAATCCTTAAAAAAAACCGAAAAATTATTTATCAATTGAGTAATGTCTAATTTTCAAAATTCAAAATGGCGGATCCAATATGGCGGAAAATTTTTTGTTTCAAAATAATAGAAAAAAATAGTAGTTTTATATAAAATTAGTTTAATTTTCATCTTTCACTGAAAAAACTGGTGTCTTATTTCACAGTAAAAAATAAATCTTATTTTAAAATGAGTCTTAAAACTTTAGCAGTATTAGCAATAATGTATTTAAATTCAAATTACATACGTAAATCAATTGCTTAGATTCAGTAAGGGCTGTCTTAAAAATGTTGCCTCTTAAAATAAGACATCTTTTCTGTCTTAAAATAAAAACTTTCTTTTTACTGTGTTTAAGACACTTTGTTCTGATTTACAAGACATTTTATGGTGTCAGATTTTGACCAATGACGGAACGTTTTAGACATTTTTTGAATAAAGTTAAGACAATTTTAAGACATTTACTGAATGTCTTAAAATAAGACATTTTGCTATGATACACTGAGAAAAATTTGCTTATTGAATTAACAGCATTTCTGTCAAATGTATAAAAATTATTAATTCAAAAGCATATATGCTATAAAATTTTTTTAAATATTTTATAGATTTTTATAGATTTAATAGCATATTTTTCTCAGTGTATTAATAGAAAATTTTAATGAAATATTTTCAGTTCTGGCCTGCCTACTTATGAATGGGACCACTATGAACCTTCAGTACCAATGTCAACATATTTGGTAGCATTTATTGTCTCTGATTTTAAGGTTCTAAAATCAGAAGAGGACAAATTTGGTGTATGGGCACGAAGTGAGGCTATTAATCAGTCACATTATAGTTTAAAAATAGGACCAAAGATTTTAAGGCACTATGAGGATTATTTTCAAATTAAATTTCCATTACCAAAAATGGATATGGTTGCGTTACCTGATTTTTCAGCTGGTGCAATGGAAAATTGGGGTCTTATTACTTATAGGTAGTTTTATATTTTATATTTAAATTCTATAATTTTTTGAAATGATTTTTCGATACGCGTAAAAAAATAAAAATTATTATTTAATTTAGAGAAACAGCAATGCTTTTTCAAGAGGGCGTATCCACTAGCAACAATCAGCAAAGGGTTGCTGCTGTGGTTGCTCACGAGTTAGCTCATCAATGGTTTGGTAATTTGGTTACTCCAAGTTGGTGGTCGGATCTCTGGCTTAATGAAGGTTTCGCCAGTTACGTGGAATATATTGGAATGAATGCCGTAAGAATTAATTTTTAATCATTTATAAATGTTTTTTTAAAAAATTTACCAAAAAAAAACAATTTAATAAATTTTTCAAAATTAGTCACAAATTTGTTTAAATAATCAGTTAAAAATACAAAAAAGAAAAAATTTTCAATATTTGAAAAAGGTGGAACCTGAATGGATGGTCCTGGAACAATTTGTAGTTCACGAATTACAAAATGTTTTTGGATTAGATGCTTTGGAAAGTTCTCATCCAATTTCAGTGGAAGTGGGACATCCAGATGAAATAAATGAAATTTTCGATAAAATATCCTACGACAAAGGTGCTTCAATAATTCGCATGATGGATCACTTTCTCACAACTGAAGTTTTCAAACAGGGACTATACAACTATCTTAGCGAAAGGTCAATTTTATTTTCTTTAGTAATTTAATTTTTCCAAAAAGTTAAATTTTTTTTAATTATTTAATTATTTCAATATAAATTAATTTTTAAAAGTCGAATTCCATTTCATTATTTGAATACAGAGCTTACAAAAGCGCAGAGCAAAATGATTTGTGGGCAGCTTTAACGAAACAAGCACACAAAGATAAAGTTCTCGATCGAGATGTAACTGTAAAGAAAATAATGGATACCTGGACACTTCAAACAGGTTTTCCACTAGTCACTGTTATTCGTGATTATAAAAATGGTGGTGCTTCCATAACTCAGGTAAATTTTATGAAATTATTTTTTATAGAACTTAATTAATATTTTTCTACAAAAAAAAAAAATGAAGTAAAATTTTGTATTTTTTCCAATAAAAAATTTTGTTTAGACTATCATGAAAAATACATTTGCAAGCAATTTTTTAATGGAAAAAAAAGTTAAAGCCATCGTAAAATGAAAATTTTTTTTCTCATTCCAGGAACGTTTCATGTTGCAAAATAGTACTTCATCCAATTCAGGCGAATCGATGCCACGTTGGTGGATTCCAATTACCTATACGTCCAAAAGTAAACTGAATTTCAATAAAACACAACCGTCACATTGGATGAAAGCTGAAAAATCGCTCATCATCCCTGACCTTGATGCTAGTTCCTCTGAATGGGTTATATTCAATATTCAAGAAACAGGTATTTTATTTCTCTTTTTACCCACATATCAACATATTTTTCTAATTTTAACATTTTACTTTTTATTAAACAAAAAAAAAAAAAGTGCAAAATTAGTTTAAAAAGAGAAAGAATGTATTTAATAAAAAATAAAATTAAAAAAAAGGAAATTTACACCTAAACTTTATATTCATTTCAGAAATTTGCATAAAAATTTGCATTAAACTTTTAACCTTTTATGCTTAATACAATCTCATAATCCGTTACTAAATGGAATTTCTCTTCAAAATTATAATTTACTATTATCAAATCTTTTTTTTTTTTTAAATGTCTGATTCTTATTTCTTAGAATACAATTTTTTTGGAAAAGTTATTTTTTCAAAGTTCTAAACTTTTATCAAAAAGAAATATGAGTAAAAAAGTACTTTTTTTAAATTACTGTAACTTTATTAAAGACTGAAAACTTTTAAAATGGCTTAACTTTTAACTACACTTGGAAAAAAAAATGCAATATTTATCGTTCGCCAAAAGTTTAAAAATTATTATTTAGATGAAAAAATTTTTTTTGCAGGATACTATCGCGTAAATTATGATCAAGAAAATTGGCAAAAGCTAATTAAGCAATTAAATCAAGGGAATTTTAAAGACATCTCAACGATAAACCGTGCACAATTGATAGACGATGCATTAAACTTGGCAAGAACTGGAAAATTGAACTATTCCACTGCCTTAGATGTTACTTCCTATTTAGTACGTGAAACAGAATATCTTCCCTGGAAAGCGGCTTTAACTGCCATGAGCTACTTAAACAGTATGCTAATTAAATTCCAAGGCTACGATAAATTTAGAGTAAGTTATAAATTTCACTATATTGCAGATTTTATAATGACTTATTCCACATCATTAATAATTCGCGTTAATCTTCTCCACTTTCCATTCTAATTTTACTTCTCTCATATATTTCAATAAAGATTCAATCAGATATTCTGTTTTATTCTTTTTTAAAAAATTTTGTTTTATATTCATACAATTCTTAGGAAGATTTTATTCTGTTTTCTTTTAGGTTTATTCTTTCTTTCTTTCTTTTTTTTTTATTCTTTTGAAAAGATTCTTTTCATTAGATGCGAATGTTTCCAACTTTTCAGGTGTATGCTACAAAACTTTTGGATAATATTTATAAACAAACTGGTTTTAAAGATTCCTATGATGATCCACAATTAACGGTTTTCACTCGTTTTGATGTTTTAAATTGGGCTTGTAATTTTGGCCATGAGGATTGTGTGCGAAATGCTGTTAAACAATTTATCAATTGGCGAAATTCACCGAATCCAGATGAAGATAATCCGTAAGAAACTAAATTTTATCTTAAAATCATTGCTAAGAATTTTTTAATTTATTTATTTATTATTTTGTTTTAAGGATTGCACCAAATTTAAAGAGTGTTGTGTACTGTACAGCAATTCGAGTTGGAGGTCAAGCAGAATGGGAATTTGCATGGCAACGTTATTTGTCAACTAATGTTGGAACAGAAAGAGATCTTCTTCTTGTTGCACTTGGATGCACAAGGGAAACATGGCTGTTAAGCAGATATCTTGATTGGGCATTGACTGAAAATTCAGGAATAAGAAAACAAGATGTCACACGAGTATTTGCATCGGTTGCTAACAATATAATTGGTCAACCATTGGTTTTTAACTATTTCAGAAATAAATGGACTCGCATTCGAGAATAGTAAGTACATCAAAAAAAGGTCGAACCAATTTTTTAAATTAATATACCGTAACAAAAGAAAGGCGTGGTAAATAAGCATCATTTGACACACCTTCGACAAATAGAAACATGATATGGATTTTTGTATCAGCTAAAAAGAAAAAATTAATGCTAAAGAAAATCAGTTAAATAAACCAAAATTCTAATCTCTTAATTTTAACAATACTTCATAAAGTATTTAATTTAAATTTTCCAATAGTAAATCGTTTATATTTCACAAGTTATTTATTTTTTCAGCATTGGAACTTCTATAATGACCATTAGTACAATTGTAAAAGCTTCAACAAAGAGAATCAACACTAAATACGAATTAAAAGACGTGAGTTACTTTTTTAATGGTATCAGTAGTTAATGGTACCAACAAGTACCAATGGTACCATTAGTTGCTGGTACCAGAAGGTACCAATGGTACAATTAATTGTGGTACCAATAGTTTATGATACCAGTAGTTAATGGTACCAGTATTTAATGGTACCAACAGGTACCAATAGTACCAATACTTAATGGTACCAGTTGTTGATGGTACCAATACTTAATGGTACTAAAAATTAATGGTACTAATAGGTATTAAGGATACCATTAGTTGATGGTACCAGTATTTAGTGGTACCAAAATGTACCAATGGTATCATTAATTGTGGTACCAATAGTTTATGATACCAGTAGTTGATGGTAGCAGAAGGTATCAATGGTACCACTAGTTACTGGTACCTGTAGTTGCTAGTAACAATACGTAATGGTACCAGAATTAAATGGTATCAATTAATACCAAGGATACCATTAATTGTTGGTACCAGTATTTAGTGGTACCAAAATGTACCAGTGGTATCATTAATTGTGGTACCAAAAAGGTACCAGTGGTACCATTAATTGTGGTACCAATAGTTTATGATACCAGTAGTTGATGGTACCAGTATTTAATGGTACCAAGGGTACCAATAGTATCAATTTTTATTAACAATTATAATTTTTTACAGTTATTGGATTTTGCAAAAGAGCATGGCGAACAACTTGCAAGTGCAACAAGAGCTGTACAACAATCAGTGGAACAAGCGGAAGCCAATATCAGATGGTTAGAACAAAATCATGATTCTATTCGTAATTGGTTACAAGGTAATATTGCGTAATTAAAAATCGCACAAATTATATTCGCGAGAATAATTATTATATATAGGCAACAAAGAAAAATGCCTTCTGTCATTGTGCCCAAAATTTACATTTTTATTTTCATAAAAAAAAAACAAATATTCTCGGAATATGGAGAAAAAAAAATCCTTTCTGTAGGTAATTGTAAATATATACATTGCGTGATCTTAATATATGTGCATATAAATTATACGTAATATTATTTTTAAGGAAAACATTAGTTTATAATTGAAATGATGAGAGCATCAATTTTTTTATTTCTATCTGAGAAACAACAATTTTACTCTCAGTGTTATCAAATGTATCAGAAAGTGTCAAAACAGATTTAAAAAATCTCATTTTAAAAAAATCACTAGTAAGAAAACACTAATCTCTAACAGTAAAAAGAAAATTTTATATTAAGAAAATTTTTATTTGAACTTATAATATTTTTAAAAATGTTTTTATTAATTTTTTAAACGAATTTCTTATGCCAGTACTTTGTATATTTTTAATTATCTGCCAAAAGCAGGATCTGAATTTAAGATAAATCTTTATAAAATTTAATTTCAATTTAATATTAAACATATCTTAAGATGAAATTTTCTTATTGCACATAATTTCCATTTTCTGAGATTAAAATATTTTATAATAATTAACATTATCATTATCAATCATTTTCAAGCTCAAAATTTTTTTAAAAGAGAAAAAAAAACTTTTTTTTATACTGACAATGAATCGCTTTTAAGTAATGAACTCTTTTATGAACGTTTTTCATAATTTTTTATAAGAAAATCATTACAATCATTGAAGCAGCGCACAATCTTGTAACTTTTCATTAGATACACTATATCTTATATAGAAACAAGAAAGTATTTATAACAATCATTCCACTTGTGAAAATCATCGATGTGATTACAGTCGTCCAATTATAGTATACATATTCTGTAAACTATATAATTAAAAATATTTTAAAGAATCTTATATCTTATAAATATAAAAATTAAAAAAAAAAAATTATTATTTTAAATCAAGGATGCCATTGTCGGTACTGAATAAATAAAACTGCATTGATGTGTAATTTGAGTTTTATTACATTTATACCAATCTATTGAAAAAGAATTTCTACAATTGTGGAAAAAAAAATTTTCATTGAATAAATTAATCAATTAATATTAATTAATAATAAATGAATGTAAATTAAAATTCACTAACAGGTATAAAATAATTTATAATTTTATTAAAATTATTTTATAAATTATTAAAGACATATTATCCTATATTTATTAAGCGTATTGTAATTTTTTTGTATTAATTTCATTATAATTCGTCAATTTTCGAATTTCATAAACTTACAACTATCGGAGAGACTAACTAATTAAAAATTATAAAATTATATTTGTGTAGAAAAAAACATAACAATTTTACAACTATACATATTTTACAAAATGATAGAAAAAACTTATACTAACAACAATTAAATAATGCAAAAGCAAATACAGATATACCAAGGAAAATCAACATGAGATAAGAAATACCTAAACCGCTTTCATTTAAATCAACTGGTGGTGAAGAAGTGGTAGTTGAAGATTTAGGTGTGCTTACTTCTGGTAAATTTACATCCTCCGTGCTTGATGACGTTATAATTTCTAAAATAAAATAATTTTCACCTTAAATTGGAGTTTTTTGAATTTTACAGATAAAATATTTTAGAGTACATGCAGGGGACTCTGAGTTAGCAAATTATAAGTCAGAATTTTATGATATTAATGGTACAATTAATTGTGGTACCAATAGTTTATGATACCAGTATTTAATGGTACCAACAAATACCAATGGTAAAATTAGTTTCTGGTACCAGATGTTTATGGTACCATTAGCTGCTGGTACCAATAAATAATGGTACCAGTATCAAATTCTATCAATAAGTATCAAAGATACCATTACTTGATGGTACCAGTAATTAATAGTACTAATACTCTATGGTACCAATATTTCATGATACCAAAGGGTACCAGTTATACCATTAATTGTGGTACCAATAGTTTATGATACCAGTATTAAATGGTACCAACAAATACCAATGGTAAAATTAGTTTCTGGTACCAGATGTTTACGGTACCATTAGCAGCTGGTACCTGTAATTAATAGTACTAATACTCTATGGTACCAATATTTCATGATACCAAAGGGTACCAGTTATACCATTAATTGTAGTACCAATAGTTTATGATACCAGTATTTAATGGTACCAACAAATACCAATGGTAAAATTAGTTTCTGGTACCAGATGTTTATGGTACCATTAGCTGCTGGTACCAATAAATAATGGTACCAGTATCAAATTCTATCAATAAGTATCAAAGATACCATTAGTTGATGGTACCTGTAATTAATAGTACTAATACTCTATGGTACCAATATTTCATGATACCAAAGGGTACCAGTTATACCATTAATTGTGGTACCAATAGTTTATGATACCAGTAATTGATGGTACCAGCAGTTAATAGTATGAATACTTTATGGTACCAGCATTTCATGATATCAAAAGGTACCAATGGTACCATTAATATTTGGTACCATTCGCTGCTGGTACCAATACTTAATGGTACCAGTATTTAATTGTATCAATAAGTATCAACGATACAATTAGTTGATGGTACCAGTAAATAATAGTACTAATACTCTATGGTACCAATATTTAATAATATCAAAGGGGACCATTAAGTGGGGTACCGATAGTTTATAATACCAGTAATTGATGGTACCATTAGCTGCTGGTACCAGCAGTTAACAAGACTAATACTATATGGTACCAGAAGATATCAATGGTACTATTAAGTGTAGTACCAATAATTTATGATACCAGTAGTTGATGGTACCAGTAATTAATACTACCAGTATTTAATGGTACCAACAAGTACCAATGGTAAAATTAGTTTCTGGTACCAGATGTTTATGGTACCATTAGCTGCTGGTACCAGCAGTTAACAAGACTAATACTTTATGGTACCAGAAGGTACCAATGATACTATTAAGTGTAGTACCAATAATTTATGATACCAGTAGTTGATGGTACCAGTAGTAAATAGTACTAATACTCTATGGTACCAGTATTTAGTGGTACCAAAAGATACCAATAGTACTAATATTTGTGGTACCAGTACTGAACTTACACCACATAGCAAAATTTCTTATTAAATACACTATGTTATTTTTAATGTTTCTGTATAGTATTTAAAATATTATTTATTATTTATTTCATATTAAATAACTGTTTTTAAAAAAAAATTAGATGCGTTATTCGTAATTTGAAGTTTAAAAAAATAGAAATAGCAATCATTTTAATAGAATAGAGAACTTACCAGAATATATTGAAGAAGAGAATTTTTATTTTACTTTTATTGTGAGCTTTATGTATAAGAAGTTGTGCTATGTGGGAGCGATAAGGAAAGAAATAACAATATAATATATTATTTACAATCAAACATTTTATTTTTCTTTTATGATTCCATGTAAACATAGGTACCTTTAAATTTATAACCGGAAAGAAATTTTATTTTATAATTCAATAAAAATAGGAATACATATTTTGAATTTAAAAAAGAGACTATTCAGGGTACTTAATGAAGGATTTACAGATAAATAAATTTAATTTTTATAAAATATATATTTATATTATGAAAACAAAATTTATTATAGACAGAATTGTTTTTACAGAGTATATTTAATCATAAACAATGCGACTAATTTTTTAAAATATTTTTTTTTTTTTTATTTAATTACCAGTAGTTGTTGTAGTTGTATAATATTTTCCCAGATAATCGTATATTTCTTGTGAATGAGTCTCAAACCACTGCATATTATTTTTAGCTATCTTCAATGAATCTTGCAGTCTCTTTAATATTTTTGCAAGATTTTCTGAATTTTCTTTTATGAATGTTTCGTACTATAAACAAATTATTTTATTTTTATTTTTAAATATTAAAAAATAGAAATAAATTTAAAAATTAGATCAAAAATGATTACCTGATTAATTTGCTCTGTTGTTGATATAAATTCAGCTACATTTGAAAACAAACTGGCAATGTTTCCCCAGTTTCCAAAACTAAAATAATTAGAATTTATAAAAAAATATATATTTGTTTTGATTAATATAAAAGGAATCTTGTTACTTACTAAGAATATACATTATGATAATTATTAATTAAAAATTGTAATAAGGTATTGACTCCAATTTTTCCAGCATTGTTAACAGATCGAAAGACAAGATTTACATGGTGACGGCGAATTTCTTTAGAGGATATAGCAAGTTGAAGATATCTATAATTAAATATTTAATTTTTTAAAATGAATCACTTTCAATTAGATTCTAAATTAAAATAATTTAACTTACGAAAGAAGCGTTGTTGTATTTTGAGTACAACCTAAAGATTCCAAAATAATTTCCTTCTCTATCGAAAAATTAGAGCTGAGATATTTATTCCAAAGAAACACCCAATCTTCATAGGTACCATATTTTAAAGCTGTACAATAAACTGTTGTCTTTAAATTCGATGGAATTCTATAAAATAAAATTTAATTAATTGCCCTGATTCAATGAATTTAAATTAACAAAATTATTTATAAAATACTGCATTTTACATACTGTTTCAAATAATTCTTTTGCCAAGTCAAAAATAGAAGTTTTGATTTTGCAACACAATTCAAATGTTGATATTTGCATGCCCAATTTGTTATTAATTGACGTTGAAGTTCCTCCAACATATTTTCTTCTTTAACATCATGAAATCCAAGTTTATTATAAATTTCATTAACAAGTGTTCGAATATGACGACCAAAGAGATTATTTATCTCATGTCCTTCAAAACGTTGACTAAGATAGAAAATCTCGTTAAAAAATCCTTTCCAGGGAAGATAATTTTCTTCTTGTACTAAATATTCCGTTGCATTTAATGCTAGAGTGTATGTTACATAATTAGCTCTTGCAAGATTAAGAATATCTTCAACAATTTGAGCTCTATTCACATCATCAATCTCTGTAAACTTATTACTGTGTAAAATGTTTGCTAATCGATACCATGAATCAGTATCGTAATTAACTCGATAATAGCCTGATCGTTGTACATTTAAAATATACCATTCATTTGTATTGTTAACATTAATTGTCATTGATTTTTTACCAAACCAAAATAATGGCATTGTATTCTCAAAATTTTTATTTGATTCACTCACATATGTTATTGGTATCCAATAAATTTGTTCATTTGTCAAATTCTCTAATAAATATCGTTCCTGTAATTCAGAAATTACTTAACTAATAGATAAGTAATATTTAATATTAAAATTAAATTAATATTTACTTGAGTAAGAGTCATTGTGCCATTAATTAATGTGACATTAACAACAGGATATCCAGATTGATTGACCCAACTATTCATAATATCTTTTATCGTGACATTCACATTTTCTAAAATATGTGTTTTATTAACTTGAGCCTGTAATGAATCATAAAGTTGTTCAGGTGTTGCAGTAAGATGTTGAAGTTTTTGAAGATAATCCCGAACAGCATCGATGCAAACTTTATTGCCAAAACTATTATGGAACATGCGAATTACACTAGCACCTAGTTAAAATAAATTTTAAATTTAAAAAAATTGAAAATAGAATAATTACTAATATTTAAAAAATGGAAATATATATATCTTTATTTAAACAAAAAAAAAAAAAAAAACTGCACTTCCCCTGAAAAAAAACAAATGGCTAATTAAAATTTACGTTCTTACTTTTACTGTACGCAATGTCGTCAAAACTAGAACGAATTTCTGTTGGATTAAAGACTTTATTATTCATAGGACGGGTCACTAAATAGGGATCTTTTGACAATGCAACGTGCATAGTTGTAACTGTGAATTGTTTCAAAAGTTTCCAATTTGGATTCAACTGAAAAAAAAGGAATTTCGTTGAAAAGAGTATGATTTTTTGCATAAATTAATAAGATTAAATAAATCTTTTTTAAAACTAATAGACATACTATATTAATTATAACATCTTGAAGATATTGAGCAAAGCCTTCATTTAACCATGAATAATCCCACCAATCACAAGTTACTAAATTTCCAAACCACATGTGAACAAGTTCATGTGCTATTACAGTATTAATTCCTTTTTTGTAACTACCTGGTGTTTCTTTTTTCCTATAAAGAAGACCCTTTTCCCTAAAAAAAAAAAAAAATCATTTAAAAAAATATTTTTCCATAATTAAAATGAGGCAAATAAAAAAAAAACTAACTTAAAAGTAATAAGACCCCAATTTTCCATTCCTCCAATTTCACAATCAGGAACAGCAATCAAATCCATTTTTGGTAGTGTATAATTTAATCCAAAAATTTTTTCCATTTGTTCCAAAGATTTTGTTGCAATTATTAAAGAATCATGAGTATCATCAATAGCATTTGATCGACTCCAAATTGATAAATTTTTAATTGAAATATTCTTAAAGTCGGATACAATAAAAGCTACTAAATAGGTTGACATTAAGGGAGTCTCCTCGAAAACATCTAAGGTTCGATTCTCGTCTCTAAAATATTTATCAAATTGTAAACAATAAATAATTTAAATATAAGAAAAAATATAGTACAAATAATAAATATTGATTAATTTAATAATTATTATTTAATTATTAATAATAATGCATACTTTAACGCTGTTGATGATTTTAATGGCATATTACTTAAAGAATGATAAAAATTTGGTCTTTCAATTCGAATGATGAATTTTGCTTTGAATGCTGGTTCGTCGAAACATGGAAAAGCTCTTCTGGCACTTGTTGGTTGAAAATAAGTAGTCGCTAACCATCTATTTATCAAAATTAATAACACAAAGTTTCAAAAACTTCTGATTAAAAAGATGTAAATTTTTAAAAAATTTTTTACCCTTTAAAAATACTAGACATGTGTAAAATAAATCGAACCGAACAGTTCGAATTTTTGTGCCGAGTTCGAATGTCGAAAATTCGACATTCGAGTCAGCCCAGTTCGAATGTCGAAATCCGACATTCGAGTCCGTCCAGTTTGAATGTCGAAAATCCGACATCCAAGTCAGTCCAGTTCGAATGTCAAAAGTTAGAAATTCGAGTCGGGGTCATTAAAAACCGAACAAAATTCGATTCGATTCAAACATTGCACAGCTCTAAAAAAATCCCTTTCAAAGTCAAATAAAATTAATCAGCATGTTTCCATTATTTTTTTACCTTAAAACAACATGTATTACCTTAAAAAAACCTACTAATTGAAACTAAATTGCAATAGAATAAGAATAATCAATTTTTTTCGTTTTTTTTTTAGATAGAATGTTTTCCTGGAAAATGAAAAAATCCCTTTCAAAGTCAAATAAAATTAATCAGCATGTTTCTATTATGTTTCTACCTTAAAACAACACGAATTACCTTCAAAAAACCTACCAATTGAACCCTAATTGCAATAGAATAAAAATAATCAATTTTTTCGATTTTTTTAGATAGAATGTTTTCCTGGAAAATGAAAAAATCCCTTTCAAAGTCAAATAAAATTAATCAGCATGTTTCTATTATTTTTCTACCTTAAAACAACACTAATTACCTGCAAAAAACCTACCAATTGAACCCTAATTGCAATAGAATAAAAATAATCAATTTTTTTCGATTTTTTTAGATAGAATGTTTTCCTGGAAAATGAAAAAATCCCTTTCAAAGTCAAATAAAATTAATCAGCATGTTTCTATTATTGTTTTACCTTAAAACAACACGAATTACCTTTAAAAAAACCTACCAATTAAACCTAAATTGCAATAGAATAAGAATAATCAATTTTTTTCGTTTTTTTTAGATAGAATGTTTTCCTGGAAAATGAAAATATGCCTTTCAAAGTCAAATAAAATTAATTAGCATGTTTCTATTATTTTTCTACCTTAAAACAACACTAATTACCTGCAAAAAACCTACCAATTGAACCCTAATTGCAATAGAATAAAAATAATCAATTTTTTTCGATTTTTTTAGATAGAATGTTTTCCTGGAAAATGAAAAAATCTAGACCTGTGCAAAATAAATCGAACCGAACTGTTCGAATTTTTCCCCGAGTTCGAATGTCGAAAATTCGGCATTCGAGTCAGCCCTGTTCGAATGTCGAAATCCGACATTCGAGTCCATCCAGTTCAAATGTCGAAAATCCGACATCCGATTCAGACCAGTTTGAATGTCGAAAGTTCGAAATTCGAGTCAGGGTCATTAAAAAGCGAACAAAACTCGATTCGATTCGAACATTGCACAGCTCTAAAAAATACATAGTTTTAACGATAAATAATTTTTTAAAAAAATTTACATCAATTAATGTTGAAATCAAAATATTTTTGATTTACCTTGTCTGATTTTTATCATCAATATAAGAGCTACGATAAAATCCCTGTAAATTTTCATTTAAAATACCATCATATTTGAAATACATTTTCAATTCAGTATCCACATTGATAATTGAATTCAAATAAATTGAAAGTTTTTCTGTAGTTGTATTCAATGTGTGAGAAATGTTAATTTTCTGTTCAAATTCATCAAAAACTTGAATTTCCTTAAATTTCAAATCATTTGCATTTAAAATAATTCTTGATGTTCTTTCAACTGTTTTCATAATTATTTTTACTTCTCCTTCGAATGTAAAATTTTTTTCCTCAAAATACGTTTTCAAATGAATATCATATAAAATTGGTTTCATTAATATTGGCAAACGATAATTTTCACTTGGATAAGTTGTTTCCAACCATTCCCAAATTTTTGGTAAATATTTATCAAACCATGTATGTGTCTTTTTAATTCGCGAATATTTAGAAATATTGGTAGAATTCAAAATTGATGAATATTTATCTAATTTTACAAAAGCCTATAAAATTGTTATTAATAATGAATAAAGCTGAATTAAATAAAATATTTTGTCAATAAATAATAATTTTTTTAAAAAAAGTTGTACCTTTTTCAAAATTTTTTTGGATGATATTCTTTTACTTATACTCTTTAGAATTGTTTTTAATGCTGCCTCGTCCTCAACGCTGTTTGAATATTTAACAAAAAAATTAATTTTTAATAAGAAATATTTATTTTTTTAAATTTACTACTTACTATTTATATATGTTATCATAATTATTTTCAAGATAATTTAAAACAGTTTCCATTCCCTTTAAGTTCGCCTTATACGTTTTTGAAAAAATCTTGAATTTTTCTTTCAAATTCATTGTGGGTGCTTTTTTAACGGCTTTCTCAAATAAACTAATTACAAAACAAAATAATTAAAATTACATGATGCTACAAGGAACTCGTGATAATTTGCATCACTAAATTAGAATATTAAGAAAAATAAATCCTTAAGTTAAATATTTACTTTGAAATTTGTTCTTCATTCTCTGAACAGAGTAGAGCATCATATAAGGTCATACGCTCATTCAATAACTTTTCAGATAAATATTTTTCTTTAAGAAAATGAAAATCGTCCTTCGAACCATGTTTTATAGCTGTACAAAATAGTGTACTACGAAGATTTCCTGAAATTCTGCAAAATAAAAAATTAAAATTTTTTTTTTTTATTTTTTAATAAGAACTTTTTTATATTGCTACATTATGAACTGTTTTTACAAAGGTGCATGTGACATTTTATAACGTCACTGACGCAATATTAAAAATTCTCGACCATTTAATTCTTCAACTAATTTGCGGATATATGTATAACATAAAAGAAAAAATTATAATGAAAATGTAAAAAAAGTTAACTGCACTTAATTTTTTTAAAATTGCAAATTTGAGAAGTGTCCACATAAACCTACTTTTTTCTACTTCTTTATCATTATTAAAAAAAAAAAATTTAAATATGTTTGCTAGTTACAAAAAAAGAATTATTTATTATTTAAATTTAATTTTAAAAAGAGAAAGTAATAAATAAATTCTTTTTAATAATAATGGTACCTGTAGTACCAATACTTAATTGTACCAGTATTTAATTGTATCAATAAGTATCAACGACACGATTATTTGATGGTACCATTAATTAGTAGTACTAATACTCTATGATACCAGTAGTTGATGGTACGAGTAGTAAATAGTACCAGTGGTACCATTTATTGTGGTACCAATAGTTTATGATAAAATGCTACCATTAGTTTCTGGTACCATTATTTAATAGTACCAAAAGGTACCATTATTTAATGGTACCAAAAGGTACCAATGGTACTATTAATTGTGGTACTAATAGTTTATGGTACCAGTATTTAATGGTACCACAAGCACCAATGGTACAATTAGTTGCTGGTACCAGTATTAAATGGTACGAATGCTACCATTAGTTTCTGGTACCATTATTTAATGGTACCAAAAGGTACCAATGGTACTATTAATTGTGGTACCAATAGCTTATGATACCAGTTGTTGATTGTAACAATATTTTATGGTACCAGTATTTAATGGTACCACAAGTACCAATGGTACAATTAGTTGCTGGTACCAGTATTAAATGGTACCAATGGTACCATTAGTTGCTGGTACCAATACTTAATGGTACCAGCATTTAATGGTACCATAAGTTGTGGTACCGGTAATAAATAAATTATTTTCAATAATAAATTGTATTATAAAATAAAATAGTAATTTATTACTTGAATGAAGAGTCGTTCTTGAATTTGGCAAATGTTTCCATTGCATGATTAATACATTCAGGAATTTTGAAATCACATGCCCATTTGTTAACTAATATCCTGAGAAGCTTATCATAATGATCTTCATCTTTAATTTCTGAGGGACCCAATTTATTAAAAATAGGTGTCAAGAGTGTACGAATATGTGTCTACAACAATATGCATAGAAAATAAATATATTTTCAATCAATTTGTAAATTTCCAAAAATCGAAAACAAAAATTTTTTTTTTATTTTATTCATACCTTGTATAAATCATAAACATCAAGATCTTTCAAAATCATATTTAATTCAGATAGTCCTTTAAAAGCAGCTTTCCATGGTAAATAATTTGTTTCCTGTTCTAAATATTGAGTAGCTGATAAAACTTTATCATAACTGACGTATCCAGTTTTACCCAAATTAAATAGATCATCGATCAATGATGCACGATTTATTTCATGAATTTGAAAATATTCTAAACTTTTAAGGGTAGTAATAATTCTCATCCAATTTTCTTCATCATAATTCACGCGATAATATCCTAAAAAAATTACCGATATTATTTAATTTAATTAAAAAAAATTTACTAATTTTAATTTCTTTGTATATATATATATATATATATATATATATATATTTTTGCTGAATATATTTGTCAAACCTGCTTGTTGAATATTAAATATTATCCATTCATCGTTTTCTTTTTTAATGGAAATTTGATTTTTTTCATCTTTTAACCAATATTTTGGAACAGTATTATTAAAATTATTTTCCCTTTGAGTGGTCCAAGTAATTGGAACCCACCAAGTTTGATTAATTGGATAATTTTTACTATTCGATGATAAAAATCGTTCTTGCGCAAACATCACTTTTTCATCTTCAATTTTTACATTAACCACTGGAAAACCTGGTTTAAGAGTCCAAGAATCTAAAAATTCTTTAACATCTAATTCAAAATTAACAGAATCAATTTTCTCCTGTAGTCCTTTATAAAGATCCTCCGGTGTCGCTACATTGTGATTTCTAAAAAGAGAATAATTTCTTTAGAAATAAAAGCCTAATTTTAATTAGAAACTAATTTTGAATAACTTTACCGATTTTTTAAATAAATATATAAACCATCATAAAAGAGATTAGAGCCTATTATTTTTTCCGTCATTCGTAAAATACTAGCAGCCTTGTCATACGAAATTTTACTGAACCTCTCTCTTATTTCCAAAGGACTATAAACATCGTGTGTTATTGCATGACTTCCTACATATGCATCAATGTCAAATGAAGTCTGTAAATGATTTACAACAAATTGTTCTGGAATTTTCCATGATTTTTCCACCTATCATAAATGGATAAAATTTATAAACAATTTTGGATAATATAACAAAAATTTGTCTACACAAAACAAAAATAAACAATATTCACACTATCAATTGCAAAATACTGCAAATATCTTGCAAATCCTTCGTTTAGCCACAAATATTTCCACCACAAAGGAGTGACGAGATCTCCAAACCATTGATGTGCAAATTCATGACTAATCACATTGCTAATATCCTGTTTGTCAAATAGAGTTGACTTCTCTTCATTATAAAGTAATTTTCCTTCTTTGTATGTGATAAGTCCCCAATTTTCCATTGCCGCTGATGCAAAATCAGGTAATGCAATCATATCCAATTTTGGTAATTCATATTCATATTTTAATTTATTTTCATAAAATTTCATGAAAGGTGACATTAGAGAAATTCCATATTGTACTTGAGAAATAGCCTCTGGTCTTGAATAGACTTTATAATTTTCATGGCTCTTGTATGAAAATTGTGACACTACCAATGCAACCAAATAAGTTGACATTAATGGAGTCTCAGCAAATGTATCTTTTAACATATCATCTCTGCGAATGAAAATTTGTCATTAATTTTTAGAAATTCTGTTTAAAAAATTTTTATCATTTTCAAAATACTAACGAAATACGTTCCGTCAGTTTCAATGGCATATTGCTGATAGCATGATAATGTTGCGGTCGAGTAACACTTAATGTGAAAAGTGCCTTCATTGCAGGTTCATCAAAACATGGAAACATTTTTCTTGCGCCCACTGGTTCCATCTGAGTAGCTGCTAACCATCTGCAGGTGTTAAAAAAAATTCAATCTTATTTGTCAAGTTTTATTGATTTTTTGTTTGTCGTTCATTTAACCTACAACTAAACCTACAACTAAACCTACAACTAAACCTGCAATTAAACGTACAACTAAATCTACAAAAAATCGTACTAAACTAACTAAACAAACTAAACTTTTAACTAAACCTAAAACTAAACCTACAATTAAACGTGCAACTAATTCTAAAAATAATCATACAACTAAACTTACAACTTAACCTTCAACTAAAACTAAACCTACAACTAAACCTAAACCTAAAACTAAACCTACAACTAAACCTAAACCTAAAACTAAACCTACAACTAAACCTGCAATTAATCGTACAACTTCATCTACAAATAATCGTACAACTAAATCTACAACTTGACCTACAACTAAACCTAAAACTAAACCTAAAACTAAACATGCAATTAAACGTACAACTAAGTCTACAAATAATCGTACTAAACTAACTAAACAAACTAAACTTTTAACTAAACCTAAAACTAAACCTACCATTAAACGTGCGACTAATTCTAAAAATAATCGTACAACTAAACTTACAACTTAACCTTCAACTAAAACTAAACCTACAACTAAACCTAAACCTCAAACTAAACCTACAACTTAACCTAAAACTTAACCTACAACTAATCCTACAACTAAACCTGCAATTAAACGTACAACTAAATCTACAAATAATTGTACAACTCAACATACAACTTAACTTTCAACTGAAACTAAACCTACAACTAAACCTAAAACTAAACCTAAAACTAAACCTGCAATTAAACGTACAACTAAATCTACAAATAATCGTACAACTAAACCTACAACTTAACCTTCAACTGAAACTCAACCTACAACTTAACCTAAAACTTAACCTACAACTAAAACTACAACTAAACCTGCAATTAAACGTACAACTAAATCTACAAATAATTGTACAACTCAACATACAACTTAACTTTCAACTGAAACTAAACCTACAACTAAACCTAAAACTAAACCTAAAACTAAACCTGCAATTAAACGTACAACTAAATCTACAAATAATCGTACAACTAAACCTACAACTTAACCTTCAACTGAAACTCAACCTACAACTTAACCTAAAACTTAACCTACAACTAAAACTACAACTAAACCTGCAATTAAACGTACAACTAAATCTACAAATAAACATACAACTAAACCTACAAGTAAACTGAAACTACATTGATTTTAATTTAAACCTTCTTTGACCTACATTGTATTTATATTGGACCTGATTTTACTCTACATTGAACCTAATTTGGCCCTACATTGATCCTATATTGAACCTAACTTAGTCCTTTGAACTTTGAACCTAAAATAAACTTCATTGTACTGCATTGAACCCATACATGAAACCTATATTGAACCTCAATTGTACTCTCATCTGCTCTACATTGAACCCATATTGAACCTAAATTGAACCTTAAAAAAATGTGCAAAAAGCATATAAAAATAACCTACTGTCTTTTTCCCTTGTCATCTTCATAGGAACTGCGGTAAAATCCACGGTTATCCGTATTCAAATAACCCGTGTAGTTAATTTTTATTTGAACTCGTGTTCCTTCTGTTAAATCATCATCAAGAAAAATTGTCATAAAATTATATGAATTAAATGTATTCTCCGTGTAATTTACATGATGAACCTTCTTTATCACATCATTGGCAAAAATATTCACATCATTGTGACTAATATTGTAAGCGTGCAAAACAATTTTATCAGTAACATCTTTTACTGTTGCATCGATTTTAACAAATCCATCAAATGTAAAATTATTTTCAATCAAATGAGGAAATACATGTATATAATATTTTGAAGGAACTAAATCACCAGGTAAAAAATAATCAGTTGTATTACTTGTATTTTCCTTTTGATTAAAATTCTTTATCCACTTAACGATTGTTTGTGAGTGATTTTTATACCAATCAAGTTCATATTTCGCTAATTTTAAACTTGATTCTAAGGATGAGATTATTGATTTGAATTTCATTTTATGTGAATTGATAAGATTTTTGAAATCATCAATTAATTCTTGTGTCGAAAAATAGTTTGATGCTGATGATAAAATTGTTGATATACTATCAATGCTTCCTTCATTGCTGAAAGATAAAAAAAAAATTCCAATAAAATTTATTTTTTCTATAAAAAAATAGAATTTTTTTTTTAAATAAAAATTATTTTTTAGACAATGTATATTTACTAGTCTATTATTTTCTTGTAGTGCGTGTCAATAAAATTAATGATAAATTTAGCTCCATTTGGTGAACAAGAAATAACGGAATTAAAAACAGTATTACTGTCTTGTTTTCGAATTCTATTTTCTTCGTAACTTGATACAGCTCGTAACAAATATCTAAATAAATAATAAAATTTATAATAATAAAAAATTTGTGCTTTAAATTCAAAAAAAAAAAAAAAAAATTAGACTTACTTTTCAATAATAGAATAATTATTACTGCAACCAAGAGCTCTTAGTATTTCAATTTGTTCTGATGGAACTTTTGAACGAACATATTGACTCCATAATGTATCCCAATCAGTTTCAGTGGCATTTATCATAGCAGTTGAGAATACAGTAAATTTTTGATTTTTTGGAATTCTGTAAAATATTTACGTATCAATTTATTTCTATAAACATTTTTATGATTAAAAATTTGGAATATATGTTATCAAATTTTTTTTAATTGTTTTTACATTTTCAAGTCCCCTGATTTCCATCTTTTAAAGTATTCTAAAGATTTTTTAATACATTTTTCCTGATTAAATCGACAAGCTAAATCATTTAGTTCCATACGCAATAAAATATCAAGTCGATTATCTCCATCCTTATCATCGTAACTTAATTTTCGATATGTCTTGTTGATAAGATTCAGAATTAAATTCTAAAATAGGATTAATTGTTTAAAATAATCATTTATATATATTTATTCATATTAAATTATTGCTATTTTATAATAAATAAATAAATAAATAAAATAAATATGATAATAAAATGAATAGTTTAATTTTTGAAGAATTTTTAAAAATAAATTTTTATTGATATTTACTTTATAAAAGCCCTCATCATGTTGGCTTGTAAATCGTTTAGTCAAATATGCTAATGCATTTAAAGCAGCTTTATATGGGACATAATGAGTTTCTTCAACAAGATACTTAAGACCATCTAAAGCAACACTATAATCAATATAATCAGCTCTAGCTAAATTCATCAGATCATCAATAATAGCTGCTCTATTAAGTACATGTATTTGAGAAAGAGTTTTTTTGCTGTTTAAAGTGTTTATTATCCTGTACCAGGACTCCTTATCATAATTGACTCGATAATATCCTGAAAATGTAAAACAAATTTCCTTTTAAATATTTTTCAAAAAATAATTTTTACTATAATTTTTAAATTTAATTAAACATTTTTATAAATAATTTATCACCAGCTGATTGTAAATTAAATATAATCCAATCGTCCTTTTTCATTTGAACATCGATAGTGAAATTATTTTTTCCTATCCATTGTTGAGTGACAGTTGTATCAAAATCAGATTTACTTTTCACAGTCCATGTAATTGGAATCCACCATGTATAATTTGTTAACGCTGAATCGGGATTACGTAATAAAAATCGATTTTGTGTCATAATTACTTTATCATCTTTCACAATTACTGACACAACTGGAAATCCCGGTTGTTTAGTCCAACTATTCATAATTGTTTCTACTTTTGTTTTAAGCTTAAAATCCTTTAAGTCAATCTCTTTTTGCAATTCTTTCCACAAATCTTCGGGTACAGCGTTCTCATATTTTCTTAAAAAAAAATTTTTTTGTTTTTATAACAGAGAAAAATATTTTACATTTTTAGTACTCGAAATTTATTACCTCGATTCAAGATAATTTTGCAATGCTGTATTGAAAATTTTTGATCCAAAAGATTTTTCCATCATTCTAATAACACTGGCACCTTTATTGTAGGTAATAGTGTCACCAGATTTTCCAATTTCACCTTGACTAGCAACATTTCGTGACAATGGTGACGAAGAATTTAATCCATCAACAGAAAGAGCAACTTGATGTTGAGCAACAATAAATTGTAAATCCATATTCCAAGCTGGTTCAATCTAGATCGAATGAGTGTAAATTTTTAAAATTAAAAAATTTTATCATCATTAAATTAATTGAACTGATGAAAAAATTACCTTAGCTGTAGCCATGTATTGAAAATATCTGGCAAAACCTTCACTAAGCCAAAGAACACCCCACCAATTAGGTGTAACTAAATTTCCAAACCACATATGTGTACATTCATGAACAATTGTTGCTGCAACATTTTGTTGAGCAATATCAGAAGATTCTTCATTACTGTAAAGCATTGCTGTTTCCCTATAAGTTATAAGTCCCCAATTTTCCATAGCACCAGCTGAAAAATCAGGTACAGCAACCATATCCATTTTTTCAATTTGATATTTTTGATTAAATGTCTCTTCAAAAAATGTTAAACTTCTTTTGCCAATTTTTAAAGCATAATCTCCTTGATCAATTAATTCTTCTCTTGACCAAACTGTAAAATTTCCATCACTTTTTGATTTTAAATTCGATATAACAAAGGCTACCAAATAAGTTGACATTGGTAAACTTTTTTTGAAAATCACTCTTGATAGATTTTGCCTGAAATTTTAATATCCCATTATGGGAAATTCATTTACATAACTTCGCTAATAATTAGATATCTGTGTTACTTTTAATATTAATAAATTTCAAATTAGGATCAGCCGGGGTAAATCCGAACGCTTTTAGTAAGTTTCAACAATAACATAAGTTTTTTCTTTTAAAAGACAATACTTTCTGTATTCTGGTGCATGAAGTTGTTACTTTAACTTCCATAGAACAATTTTATGGGGTAGCAAAAATTTTTGATAAATTACAATCGCAGGAAACTTAGCGTTCGTATTTACCTCGATATTTTGCAACTTTCCTAAAATACCGGGGTAAATACGAATGCCACTGTATTTCAGAAAAATCTTAGGGAAAATCAATTTAAAGTATTGCAATTGTTATACTTATATAAAAACTCAAAAAAAAAAATACGATAATAAACCTATTATGTAATAATGCATCATATATAAATACAAAAATCAAACAGGTTAAAAATTAAAATGCATTACACAATTAAAACCTTCAATAACTTTATCAAATCATAACGAATTTTTGCAAAACTTGGTACAGAAAGTATTTTGGAGTGATTGAATGTAAATACAAAAATAAAAGTCAAATTTTTTAAATTCAAAATGGCGGACTTTCCTAAAACTTATTTTTAAAAATGATCAAATTTGCTAAGTTCAAATTCGTAATCAGCTACCCTGAAACCCCCCCCCCCCCCCAAGTAACAATTTTCGAGCGAATCCAATGAATTTTTTAATTCTCGTCCGCCATATTGGACCCTCACAACAAAAGGATATCCTCAGGATATCCTAAACTAATGTAGGATATCCTCAGAACATCTAAACCGCTGTTACGTAGGATATTTTTGGGATATCCTGAGGATATTCTAGGGATATCCCTGGGTTATTCCAAGGATATCCTAGTGATATCGTGGGGATATTCTTGGGATAAACTTGGTATATCGTTAAAATATTTTAGAAATATCGCTAAGATCTCCCTAGGATATCATTATGATTCAAATTTTAAATATTTGAGATAGCGATTTTTTGATACAAAATAGTTAGCGCTTAAATTGGTTTCAAGAGATTTTTTAAAGAAAAAGTATAAAAAAGAATTCTTGTAGACAAGGTAAATCATTTTAGATATCTTGGAAATACATTATAAATACATCCAAAAAATATGTTTTCCATTTTTATTAAATTAATTTGTATGTTAGGGTCGTTTTATGGATACCTTAGGGACATTTTTAGAACGACTCAAGGATATTCTAACCCTTAAGATAATATAGACATACTGTGGATATCCTTAGGACGTCCTAAGGACATCCCTAATTATTCCGGGGATATCCTTGGGATATCCTTAGGACGTCCTGAGGATATCTTAATAATATCCGGGGAAATGATTAGGATATCCCTGGGACGTCCTAGGGACATCCTTAGACATCCCTAAGATATCCTAACCGCCGCTACTTTAGATATCCTTAAAGTATCCTTAGGATATCCCTGGGGTATCCCTAGGATATCCAAGGGATGTTTTTGGAATATCCTAGGATATCTGGTGCTGTGAGGGAAAAATTCTCATGTCTAACTTATTTTTTTAAATTTTAATTAAGCTGAAATAATTAGCGTTCGGATTTACCCCGCGTTCGATTTTACCCCGGCTGACACTATACCAATTTAAAAAATTAAATCAAAATTTACAAATAGTGAAAGTAACAATTTAAAATATTATTGATCTAAAAATTTTGTTTAAAACCTTTTTTTTTTTTATTTACTCACGTTTCCATTGTTTTTTCTACTGGCATATTACTTAGACATTTATATTCTTTTGGCATTGCAATGCGAACTGTAAATTTTGCTTTAAAAGAAGGTTCATCGAAACAAGGAAACGCCTGTCTGGCATGTACAGCTTGAAATTGAGTTGCTGCTAAATATCTAAAAAAAAAAAAAAAATTATTTACAAAAAAACTAAACAACCGAGAAGTGTCAACAATTTTTAAAATTTTCATAAATTATCTAAATACAAATTATGGCTATTATTATTTTAGTCAATTACTTACTTTATGCGATCATTTTTATCAAAATAAGAACTTTTATAGAATCCAATCATACTATTGCTAATCACTCCATTATAGTCAATAACAATAAGAAATTCATGATCCTTTTCTAACTTATTTTTAAGTTCAATTGTTAGTTTTTCAGTGACATTATTATAATATTGACCAATTATATCCCGTGGATTTTTTTTAACATCCAAAATTCTAATTGTTTTTAAATTTATTTTACCATGATGTAATACAATTTTATCAGTTTCTTCATGTATTTTTACATTAATTTTTGTCATTCCATAATAAGTATAATTCTCTTCCATTTGTATCATGAGATCATACGAATACGGTAATACATTATTTGGCAAACGATAATCTTCTTTTTTATTATTCCCATCTTTTGATTCATTTAAATTTTTAAATAAATAATTTTCATTATCAAAAAATTCTTCACTTATTGGACTATTATGATGAATATTATTATTTGCTTCTAATTTTGTAACGATAAATAACGTTATCAACGTTATCACAATTCGTGGATGCATCCTGTTAGAAAAATTTTCTTTATAAACTTATTATAATAAATTTTATAATTGCAAATTAATTTATGTAAACGAAAATATATGTTTTTAAATTTTACTGGAATTTAAATTTAAAAATAAAAATATGTATTTTTTTTGAAAATGTAATGAATGTAAAGAAGGAATAATTTTTTTTCAATATTTCTTTTATTAGGTACCTTATTTTCTTGTACAAAATATTCGATTAGTTAACAGAAAATTGAGTAAAAATAAAAAATATTACGTATTTGATAAAGATAAAGTGTGATATATTTTTATCTATCTATATCTACTAATCAATAATGGATATTGACAATGTTGATTCTGAAGTAGCGTAATTGATAATAATACAAAATTCATCATATATTGCAACAAAATGGAATTTTTAAATCTTAAGTAAACTTTACGGATTAAAACACTTGAATTTCACAATATAAAATTTTTTTTAAAAACTGAGTTAATTTAATTTTTTTCTAGAGGAGACCGAGTAACAATTTTTAGATTATTGAATATAATTTATTGTTACTCTCTAAATCTGAATTAGTAAAAATGTTTACTAATTTGAATTAGTAACTTACTTTTTGCTTCTGAATTAGTTAAATTTTACTAATTCAGAAGCAAAAAGTGAGTCACTAATTCAAATCAATAAACATTTTTACTAATTCAGATTTAGAAAGTAGTTAAAAATGGTCCTATTTAATCAAAATTAAGAAAAGAAGATCTACTTCTTCCTTAATTAATTAATTCATATAGAAACTTTGTTAATAAAAATTTATAATTTAGTTTCTATTTTTATAACATAAATTATTTCACACAGAAACCTACCTGATTTTTTTTTTAACCGCCTTTGTAGAATTTATAATCACTTAGAATTTTTTAAATCATTTTAATTTTTTTTTCTTCAAAAATTGTAATCGAAATCTTTTTTTTGACAATTATTCGAACACTTTCACCAGTTTCTTTTCTAACTTATCACTCGGAAATAAACTAGTTTAGATTCTGACTTTCCGAGGTATATATACACATGATAAACTATTGTGAATGAGTAACTTTGTCTAGTATTCACACATATATTTATAAAAAACATATATGTATACAGAAATTAGAATATCTCGAGTAAATATATACGATGAACGTACAGAATATAAATATTTAATTTTAAAAACACACACAAAACTTAATTTTAAACTGAAATAAAGTGCAAAACTAATTGGGTATTCGAAAAACTTGCTGGTACAGTTTTCAATATTATAAAAGTACCGTAACATCAAATGATTGAAGAATTTTTAAGAGGACAGTGTCCGCTATTCCTCGATTCACGGGAATTAAAATTATTTTTTTTTTTTATTATCAGTGGCATCGATATTTTTTTTTTTTTTTTTTTTTTATCAATTTAATAACTGTTAAGAAATATGTATTTTATTACCAAAGATTCTTGAACCATTTAAACAAACATTATATATGTTTGCTGAATATGGAATCTATTTATATATATATTTAATATTGAACTATTTAGCTTTTTTTAATTTTTAAAAAAGCAGTATGTTATTTAAAAAAAAAATTGGCTTTTGCTGTCGCTTTTCAAATTTAAGGAATAAAATCATGAGAGTTAAAATTTTATTCCTTTAAATTCAGATATAATTTTCGTTTAATAAATAAAATTACTTTTTAATTGAACCGCCAGTGACCAAAAGGGTTTAGGCGAGATTTTCATTGGCCTCTGGAATAGTTGGAAACTCGTTGAATGCGGGGCCAACGAAAGTCACGCGTTAAGCCCTTTTTGATCGCCGACAAGTCCAATTACACAGGGAGACTTTGTTTTGAATTTTTTTTTTTTTTTTAATTTTCTAATTTTAATAAATATAAATTTTTTAACAAAAATTCCTAATTAGCATTGATTTTGTTTTCTTTTATTTTATCTACCATATTTTTAACTAATAATTGAATTCACTCTTATTTGTTTTTTGTTCGTTGAATTTATAAAAAAAAATTCTAATTTCCTTTATAACTATTTTTTATCAATACAAATTTATAAAAATTATAATATATATATTTTTAATGCACTTAAAGCAAAAATAAGTGGATATATCCCGACATTGTTCGAAACTATTGAATATTTTGTAAGGAAAAGGTCTCTCCGAGTATAGCAAAGATAAGAGAAATAATTAATTTGTCAGTTACCTTGTTAACTTTCAGCTATCGATTATCCGAATAATTAGTGAAAATTCGTTAATTCGAGGCTAATCACTCACGTGTTTCACTTTTTTTTTTCAATTCACATAGTTTTGCACCAAAAATTTTCCCACTAGTTAAAAATTTTCATTGATACAAAAAAAAAAAAAAAAAAACTGTTTAGGCGACTTGAAATTTTAAGAAAATGATTTTTTTCGATTATCAGTGGCTTAATTTATAAGTAGGAACAATATCTTATCGTAACATTAAAATGACCAATATTGCCTTTTTTTTGTCCAACGTTTTCAAATTTATATTATACTTTTTTGGAGATTATATTTTAAAGTTGAAGTACAAAGTTAAATGATAATAGAATACAATATTTTAGTAAAATAATTCAAAAATTAGATAATTTTCTAATCTTAAATGCTTTGCAAACAATTGTCATTTTGTTCACTTTAAAAAAGTAAAATTTTAATTAAATACGAATTCTCTTTAACACGAAGGATAATATAATTAATTTATTAAATTCAGCAAGTTCAGCAAATTTCCAGCTATTGCAGGGGCCAATGAAAATTGCTTTTGGTTGCCAGCGGTTTAATTGAATTTTCAATTAGTTTTCATAATTTTTTATTATTGATCTAAATTTCTGTTATGTTGGATTGTTAAAATTCATTTTAAATTAATGGAATTCACAAAAATATTTGGAATAGTAGTCAATTTTTATATTTTACATTTTTATTTGTCCAATTCTAAAAATCAATTAATGGATCTAAACGTCAATAATTACACTATTGTTATTACTTTTAATATAATTAATGTTAATTTCAATTATTGATATATTGCTGACACTTGGAATTAATGAACCGGGTTCAATTATTGTAGAGTCAGATGTTGGTGAATCGGTTATTGTTGTATTGTTTTCAGTTGTTGGGTGATCAGTTGTTTGATTTATTATAGGCAAATCAGTTGTTGTTGAATAGTCACTAGTAGTTGCTGATTCCTCTTCTGTTGTTGTAAAATTACTGGTTGAATTGTCATCAATAGTTGTTGATTCCTTTTCTGTTGTTGTAAAATCACTTGAATTGTCATCAGAAGTTGATGATTCCCTTTCAGTTGTTGTAAAATCATTTGTTGAATTGTCATCAATAGTTGTTGTTTCCTCTCCTGCTGTTGTAAAATCACTTGAATTGTCATCAGAAGTTGATGATTCCTTTTCTGTTGTAAAATCATTTGTTGAATTGTCATCAGAAGTTGATGATTCCTCTTCTGTTGTTGTAAAATCTGTTGTTGAATTGTCATCAGTAGTTGTGTATTCCTCTTCTGTTGTTGTGAAATCACTTGTTGAATTGTCATCAGAAGTTGATGATTCCTCTTCTGTTGTTGTAAAATCTGTTGTTGAATTGTCATCAGTAGTTATGTATTCCTCTTCTGTTGTTTTGAAATCACTTGAATTGTCATCAGAAGTTGATGATTCCCCTTCAGTTGTTGTAAAATCATTTGTTGAATTGTCATCAGAAGTTGATGATTCCTCTTCTGTTGTTGTAAAATCTGTTGTTGAATTGTCATCAGTAGTTGTGTATTCCTCTTCTGTTGTTGTGAAATCACTTGTTGAATTGTCATCAGAAGTTGATGATTCCTCTTCTGTTGTTGTAAAATCTGTTGTTGAATTGTCATCAGTAGTTGTGTATTCCTCTTCTGTTGTTGTGAAATCACTTGTTGAATTGTCATCAATAGTTGTTGATTCTTCTTCTGCTGTTGTAAAATCACTTGTTGTTGTATTGTCATCTGTTATTGGCAGATCGCTTGTTGTTGAATATTCATCAGAAGTTGATGATTCCTCTTCTGTTGTTGTAAAATCACTTGTTGAATTGTCATCAATAGTTGTTGATTCTTCTCCTGCTGTTGTAAAATCACTTGTATTGTCATCAGAAGTTGATGATTCCTCTTCTGTTGTAAAATTTGTTGTTGAATTGTCATTAGAAGTTGATGATTCCTCTTCTATTGTTGTTGTCGTATTGTTAACAATGGTTGGAACATCAGTTATTATTGGTAATACAGTCGATGTTGTCATTCCACTAGTTTTTGAAGGACAATTTATTGCAATCTGCCCAGACGTAGCAAATCCCCTCATCATTGACTGTCTACTAGACGATTCTAATAATTGAGACAATGTTCTATTTATAATTTTCGCAACAGGATCATTTGACACACCAAAAACACTTGTATTTTCATCATTATTTGATTTTTTTAAAGGATTTGAGCGAGTAATTGAAACATCATTATTGTTGCTACTATTGTAATTGATTGAAACTCTTATAACCGAAAGACGTTTTTCAATATCTGCAACATTCGTATTCAAATCACTATTTTGATGAGTGTCTAAAGAATTTTCTTGCAATTTGGAAGCAACAGGAAAGGAAGCACCACTTTTAAAAATAACAAAAAATAGAAAACCAAAAATCTGCCAAGCCTCCATTTTTGAAACAAACGTTTCCTAGAGAGAAAATAATTATTTTAAAATTATATTTTAAAATTATATTTAAAAAAAAATTTAATTAAAAATACTGCTCACCTTAATTATTATTAAACGTTACTGACTACAGGATCAGCTTTTACTCTTAATGATTACTTATAAATAACTTTAGAAAACTAAACGATTGCTCTAGATACCTCGTATTCGCCCTAAAAATCCGATAATAAATGACGTTATATTTTTCCCAGTAGACCTTTAGATAACTTAATTATTAAGTTTGAGCCTTGATGAAAACTGTGATTGCATTTTATCAAGAAAACATTGCACTCCAATGAGTCAAACTATTCATAAGAATAATCTGGTAATTAGGATAAAATTGATAAAATTCCCTTTTCTAAATATAATTAGAAAATTATCAATCTTCTGGGTAAAGTACAAGAAAACAAGATTTTCCTTATACACTCAAAAAAAAAATACAAAACTTTTTATCTATTTTTTTCTAGGGTGACAAAAAAATAATTTACATCATGTGATAAATAAATATAATTTTTATATTTGTTTAGATCATTTATCGAAATAAAATAAAGTTTCTTATAAACTATTAAAAAAAATTTTATTCCGTAATAATAAACTACTTTTTGTAGTATCTTACTTTTATATAAATAAGATTATTTACTCTTAAAATTGTATCACTTGAATTAACATTATTTTATAAGAATACTACATATTTTTTTTAATTTCTAAAATCATAAAAAAAAAATTTACGAGAAAACTTATATTGAATATTTACAAGTGGAATCATGTTCATTAAATTAATTAAAACTCAAAATATAGATTTTTTATTTTTATTGAAAAATATCTTGCAAGAAAATATATTGATATTTACAATTGAAATATTTTACAATTTAACATGTATATGATTACAAACAAATTTTCGAATTGAAAGTTATTCACAATTAGATTTTACTGAAGTATTTTTAAAATTCGTAGTGTACATTTTTTCACAACTTTTTTTTTTGAAACTATTTTCTTGAATCGTAAAAATATTTTAGTAAAATTTGTCAATTTTTTTTTTAAATTATAATCAACATGTATAGTAAAAAATACTTCTTTATCTAGAATATACAAATTAATGACAATGTATAAATGCGACTGATAATTAAAAAGATTATAATACTATTAAATAAATTTTAAGTATGTATAGTGTTCAAATTATTTGTATTAAAATACAATGTAAAAATAGATTTTAATTATTAATCTAAATTAATAAGGCGATAACAACTGGAATTAAACAGAAAATTGTTGCAAACTTCAAAGAAGACGCACTACCGCTGCTATTTTTTTTAACCAGAATATTTCCAATGGTATCTTTGTGTTCTTTTAGCCATTCAATATTTTCTTTAGCCGAATCAATTCCAATTTTTAATTTAGTTCTATCAAGTGTTTCACTTTCGATGAAGTTCTCCAACTGTTGAAAAAAAAAAATTATTGATATTATTATTTATCAGTTCGCAGAATAAAAATTTCACTTACTAATTTCAATTCTTCATTCCTTGTAATTCTCTTGCCAATGTCATTTATGTATTTCAATAAGTTTCCGTCTTTGCCTTTGTCACTGAATTAAAATAAAAAATACGGTAAAACATTTTATTGAATAATTTTTGAAATACAATTTTCGAAAATTTTTTTTTTCAAATACTTACATTTTCAAAATGTGTGCCACATTATGAGAAATGAATTTTAGAGAAACATTCAATCCAATTTCGTTGATACCGTATACAGATTGAATTACCTTCGAAAGAAATTGATGTTCATTTTCATCATTGATAGTTTTGTTTAAAAAGTTAAATAAAATCATTTCATCTCTAGAACAACCTAGAGATGTTAAAATCGCATTTTTTTCCAAATTGTCCTCAGTTATTTTTTTTGCTTGATATCTCTTATAAACTGAATCCCAAACTGTTTGATTTGCTGTTTTTAAACCCTCACACAATATAAGAGCTTTTAAATTTTCAGGAATACTGAAAAATATATTTTAAAAAAAAATTATAATGAAGAAAAAAAACAATAAATTTATAAATAAAAAAAAAAAGAAATAAAAAAAAATTATTTACGCAGTAGGTGGTTCTTTAATCCAAGCGTCAAATTTATCCTTTAATTTTGTACAATTTTCATGTCCCAAACTGCAAGCCCATTTTAGAGCTAAACCTCTTTTTAATTTTGTTATATGCTCATCTTGTGAAATCTCTTCAACTCCTACGTCTTTTATTAATTTTTCAGAAATTTTCAATGCGAATTTCTAAAAAAAAAACGAAATTTATAAATTTTTATACCAAGTTTACATTAAAAAAAATTTTAATTCACAAAAAAATGCAAAAATAATATTGTAAAAAAAGTTACTTTAAAATTTTCGTAATGTTCAGTGTGCAAAAATTGATTTCTCATATTGCTTAAGTGTCGCAATGCCGAAACCCATGCAAAATAATCAGTTTCTAAACTCAAATAAGATGACAAATCAAAAGCAATATTGTATTCTAAAAGACCAGCTTTAGCTAAAGTCCAAGCATCATCGACAAGTTGTGCTCGATTCAAATAGTGAATTTTTTTCATATCCTCCTCTTTTGATGATAGATATTTAATAATAAGATTCCAATTTGTTTTATCATAATTAACACGATAGTAGCCTGTAAAAAGATTTTAAAAAAAAAAAAATTTTTTTTTAATTAAATTTTTTGAGTCTCAATTTAAAAAAAAAAAAATTGATTATTTAAAAAAAGGACATACCAGTTTGTTGCTTATTAAAAATAACCCATTTTTTTGCTTCTACATTTAAATCAGTAATATCTAATTTGTCAGATTCAAGCCAATGAGTTGCTTTTGTATCGTTAAATTCTTGTCCTTCTGATGCAAAATTAATTGGAATCATATATTTTTCTTTACTTTCTTCTTTTTGTTTTTTTATAAAGAATCGTTGTTGTTTAATTTCTGCTGTTTTTTTATCATAATTTCTTGTGACAGTAATTATTGGATATCCAGATTGTGTCACCCATGTATCCATAATTTTTTTCAAATCTTTTCCCCAAATTTCACCTAATTTTGCAAACAGTTTGTCAGAATCTGCATTACTGTCTTTGCTTTAAAAATAAATCAAAATTTTTTTACATTTATTTATAATTATAAATTTTTTTTAAAGCTTTTACAGAAAATTAAAAAAGCATTAAAATAAGCTGCAACGCTTATTATTTTTATTCAATTTTGCTTATTTTAATTCATTTTGGTATTAAAATAAGAAAAATTGGATTAAAATAGTAAGCGTTGCAGTTTATTTTAATGCCTTTTAATTTTCTGTGTTCATAATAATAAACAGTTTTGATATCCCTGGGATGTACTTAGGATATCCTAGGACATCCTCAGAATATCCTAGGGATATCCAAACTGCCAGAAACAAATGGATATCCTTAAACATCCAGTGCTGTGAGGAAAATAATATCAAAATTTGTATTATCAGAGAAAAAAACATAATATTAAAAATAATTTTAAAGAAACTTATAAAAAAATAAACCCCCCGTTATCTATAATCAGTATTACAAAATAACATTTAAAAATTTATGAATTTATTACTTACTAAGTTTTAAGATATTGTGTTAATCCATTAACAAATACAGTTTCGCTTAAGAAATGTTTCATCATTCGAATAACAGAGGCGGCTAAAAATGAAAAAAGTTTTTTTTTTTTTTTTGATAAAATCATTTCTCATATAATTAGGTAATATATTTGTTAATCTATTTCGTTTATTTTGTGTAAATATTTCAGATTTATGTGCGATGTATATTTTACGTAAATGTAATATAATTGAAGGCATAAAAAATTTATGTTGAAATATATATTCAACTTTAGAGAAAAGATTGTTTTCTTCTGATAAAGTATAAATGATAAGCAGAATAAAGTGCATTGTCGCAAAGACAAACAAAAAATTGAGATGAGATAATTTTTTTTCGATTTCAAAAAAAAATACCTATATTTTTATATACGTACATTTGTCATAAGCAATTGTATTAAAAACCTCAGCAATCTGTTTTGGACTTTCAACTTGAACATTCATTGGCTGTGATTTTTCCGTTACATCAAAGGCAAATGCTGAATCTTGAAGATTTTTAACAACAAATTGATCGGGCATTTTAAATTCTGTTTGAATCTATAAAAAAAAAATAATAATTTAATATTAAAATACTTAGGAATTTAGCAAAGTAATGAAATTATTCTTATTTTCATTTTTTGTACTATGAAAAATTGTTTTTATATTAATTTTATTAGTTTATTATTTATTAATTATTATTTTATTATTGAAAAAAATATATGTACTGGGCCAGGCATGTGATGTTGAAAGAATGTGGCAAATCCTTCGTTTAACCATATAAATTTCCACCATGCTGGACCAACATGATTTCCAAACCATTGATGAGCAAATTCATGTGCAATTATACTAGCGACAGCTTGTTTTTTCTCAGCGGTAAGTGCATTCTCATTTAAAGTCAAGAAATGTTGTCTTTAAAAATAAAAAAAAAAATAAAAAACATTTAATAATAATATAATTAATAATTTTTATTATTGAATTTAATTAACCTGTATGTTACAAGACCCCAATTTTCCATTGCTCCAGCTGAAAAATCAGGAATTCCAATTTGATCCATTTTTTTCATTTCATATCCAGTATTAACATAATTTGTCATTTCTTCTATAATTTTTTTGCCTGTTTCCAATGGATAATTTGCATATTTCAATAAAGCTGGTTGAGTATAAACTTTATAGTCAACTGATTTATAACTACTGTCTATATGTTTAAAATCAGAAATGACAAATGCTACCAAATATGACGACATTTTTCGTGTCTCTTCAAAAGTATAAATATTTCCACTTTTTGTTCCACGCGTATTAGAAATAGCATGATAATCAGTATTATACTTTTCAATTTCACTTAAATCTATATTTATTTGAAATTTAGCTTTTAAAGCGGGTTCATCAAAGCATGGAAAAGCTCGACGTGCACTGGTTGGTTCAAAGTGTGTTGTAGCTAACCACCTTTAAATTTTATATCAATTCATTAATGCTCTTTAGAACGAACAAAAGTAAAGATAAATATACAAAATAATTGATTTAATTTAAATCAGCAATTAAACAAAAAAAAAAAAAAAAAAAAAAAACAATGTAGGAAAAAATTAACAAGAAAAGAAGTTGTTAAATATAAATATTTATCAACTAAACTTAATTATTACTTCCGTAATGTTAGACAAAATTTTTACATTACTTTAAACATTTATAAATATGTACAACAGTAAAGAATTTAAAAAAATTAATAAAATTATTTTTCATATAAAAAAAAAAAATTCCATTTATCACAAACGTACCTTTTTTTTCCATCTTCATTAATGTACGAACTTCTATAAAATCCACGTAATTCATCATTTAATACTCCATTATAATTAAAAGTAATTTTTATTTCCTCATTTGCAGGAATATCTTCTTCAAAATTCAATTTTAAAAAATCTGTTTTCTTTTCTTCTTCTTTCTCTAAATCTAATTCAAGTGATTTAACTTTGTATGTTTTATTAGAATTTTTATTATTTTCCACTATAGGGAGATCTAGAGGATATACAAGATCTTTTGAATGCATAGTAATAATTTTTGTTGCATTCTTTACTTTAACAATTATAATAGATATTCCCGTGTATCCAAAACCTCCATTAAGTGTCGGTGTCAATGTGATTTTATAACTTATTGGTTCAATATTGCCATCAAGACGATAATTAATTGTATTTGATGGTGTATCCTCAGCTAGTGACACAGCCAATAGCAATGCTAATGGCAAAAAATATCGAAACATTTTTTTCACACTTTTATCGATGTTAAAAATAAAATTTAAAAAAAAAAAAAAAAAAATATGTATTTAAAATCCAGAAATAATGTTTTATCTAACTACTACACAATTGAACTAAGATATAACTATTATCACATTTACCGAGCAACTTTAGTTGACGGTCTAAAGCTCAAAATGAAAAATTAGCTTACTTATATAAAGTACCTGTATTCAACAGAAAAGATAAAAAATGTACAATCTCATCTAATCTTATCGCCTTTAGCAAATGTAATCTATAAAATGATGGTGTCCTCTAGTAATAAGTGGGTTATTTCATTATTCAATAATTTTTTTTTTTTTACCATTTCTTACCGTCAATATATTCTCATATATTCTTATCTTTATAATTATATATATGAAAATTCAGCCAATCGACAATAAAAGTTTAAAGATAATCATAAATACCTCCCCCCCATACTAATAATACAAATTGAAAACTAATTTTTTAGTAGACTTTTTGGATACATATTTATTTTTTATAATTTTTTAATTTCATTCGATTTAGAGGAAAATTTTCCATTTTGTACTCGGAAAAAAAAATTAATTTTTCTTAGAGTTAAATATTTATTACATATTCGTGTTTAAATAAAAATTTTATTTGTATTTATGTCGACAGTATGAAGTATGAGTGTGTATTGTAAAGAGTGGGGACTATTGCACAGTCCTTTAAAACTAATGCATAAGCAGGTGTGGTCAGATTAATTAGTCGCTACTCAAAGTGATAGCACGGTTAGTAAATTGTCTTCCAAAAAGACTCAGTGAAGCTTTGGAAGGATTGATTATCTCCAAGTTTTTGTACTTTGCTTGTTAAATAAATAAAGTAGAGTTTGTTCTCAGTTGAGTAACCAACTCACAAAAATAATATTATTAGTTGTTTCTTACGGCGACAACATAATTGGTGGCAGCGGTGAAATATTTAAAATTATTTGGAAGTTCATCCAAGTTTTAAATATCCAGAACCAAGAACTAGTTCCAGATAAACAAAGTGATAATTCAAAGTGAACGAGAGAATCAACAAAAGAGATATCCAGAGAGTTATCCAGATCTACAAAGACGTATCCAGAGAGTTATCCAGTTCTACGAAGTGTTATCCAGAGTGTTAACCAAGCAGCGATCCAGATATCCATATCTACGAAGTGTTATCCAGAGTGTTAGCCAAGCAGCGATACAGATATCCAGGTCTACAGAGAGGTATCCAGAGAGTTATCCAAGTATACGAAACAGAATTCGAGATTTTCCAGTACTACGATCCAGACCAACATTCAAAAGCAACATTGAAGTAAGGTATATAAAACAAAACTACGAATCTTTAGAACAAGAGTATAAGTCCACTTTACGTACGTTGAACGGCGACCTTCATAGGGTGTGGCTAAGTTTGTTTTAAAGCGTTGGTATACTCCGTGATTTTATCAGTATTTCCATCGTCAATAAACAAAAAAAAACAAATTTCATATTCTTGTGTACTCCTTGTAGCAGGATTGCAAGAAATGAAATTTTAAATTAGAAAACGCGAACGGTTATAAAATAAAATTGTACGAAACGATATAGGAAATTTATTAAATCAAACTGGATTTAAATTCATTTAGAGAAAGTAGGGAAAACGAAACTATAGACACAGACAGTTCATCCCCTTCAATATCACTGACTGACAGACTTAAATTAGACAATATTCTAAAAATCATGCCAGAAACATCAACAAGTTCAAATGACCTTTTTCAAACAATTCTTGCAAAATTGGAAAGATTTGAAACAAGATTGTTAGCTATGGAACAACCAGTTAGAAGAGAGTTAGGTTTACCCTTAAATGAGAATGAATTAAACAGCGATCATGAAGAATTAGAAGAAGTTACAGAATATGATTTTGGAAAAAGTATAAAATTAATACCAGAATTTAACGGGAGCGGTTTAGAAAACTTCATTCATTTAATAAGATTGTCCAAAAAGAAAACAAAAAGAAATGAAAGACTAACATTACTTCATGCAATAATTGCACAAAAATTAGTAGGAAAAGCGGCAAACACAATTAGAGCCGATGCAGTTAAAACATTTGCTGATTTTTTTGAAAGATTACGAATTTTATTTGGAGAAAAGGATAGTTTAGAATCACTTCAAAGGGCTCGCGATTCATGTATAATGGGCAAAAATGAAGGTTTAGAGTCATTCACCTCAAGATTTATGCAGTGTCAGGATAAAATCAGGCAGTCTATAGATAGTATGAATATAACACCTGAAGAAACTTTCGTAAGACAGGAAATAGAAACAAGTGCAAGCGTCAGCACATTCTTAAGAAATATACGTGAAGAATTTGAAATTAGAATCCGTCCTCAGAAACCGAAAACTCTGAATGAATGTTTTAATATTGCCTCAGAAATTAACGTGAATATAAAAGATAAAAGAAGAATAGAAAATTTTACAAGAAACCCAAGAAATGAGAACCCAGTTCCAAAACCAAGATTTAGTAAACAGACAAATATAGAAAAATGCAACCATTGCAAAAATGTAGGACATACAGAAGATGTCTGTAGAGGAAAATTGAGAGGTTTACCACCACGTCAAGAGAAAACTCAAAATTTTCAGTCACGATCGATCAACAGCAAACCACCAGACCGAGTGCAGCTAAACGAAGAATTTTCTTTATCGGAGAACCCGCTAAGCACAACCTTCCACCGATCCCGAGAGAACGAAGAAGACACGACACACCTATTGTGGCTTTAAAATTTGATAAATTAAAATCGGGAAAATTTGTAGTTGATACAGGATCGAATATATCAATCATAAAAAACAGTATGTTAGAAGGAAAAAACTTTAAAAAATACGCACCTCATAACGTTTTAACAATAGGAAACAATCCCGTAACATTTGAATATTCTATTTGTTTAAAACTTTATGGTAAAGAATCAGTTTTTCAAGTTACGAAAGATGAAAATGCATTTAGAGAAAATGGTTTAATTGGAATGAATTTACTTTACGATCAAAATTTTAAAATTGACTTAGAAAAAGGTATTTTAAACTTAGGACCTAAAATACTTCATCCACAACCTAGTGCAGATAAGAAAGATAAAATCTGTTTTATTAACTTTGAAGGAGGATATTCAGCAGTCACAAAATATGATTATCAAGGAAATCCAATTTTACCACCTAATACAGCAAAAATTGAAAGTATGTATGATGCTTATGAAGACTTATGGATAGATTCTATAAAAAAACTGACTGACGAAAAAATGTACCAATTCAGCAATAATGAAAGAATTAAAGAATTATTATCTAAAACACGACTAGACCATATCAAAGAAGGAAAAGAAGACTTACTAAGAATCATAACAGAATTTCACGACATTTTCCCATTAGGAAACGATCCTTTACCTTTAACTAAATTAACTGAGCATACAATTAGAACAACAGACGATCAACCTGTAAATACAAAACAATATAGATATCCACCTATGTTACAAGAAGAAGTTTACCAACAAATTAAAGAAATGTTAAAGAAAAATATACTTCGAGAAAGTATGTCTCCTTTCAATTCACCGTTATGGATAGTCCCAAAAAAGAAAGACGCTTCAGGCAAATTAAAATGGCGAATTGTTATAGATTATCGAAAACTAAATGAAAAAACCATTTTAGACAAATATCCTTTACCGTGTATTGATGAGATAATTCAGCAGTTAGGAAATTCTAAATTCTTTTCTTGTTTTGATCTTGCTTCCGGATTTCATCAAATAGGAATGAATCCCAAGGACAAAGAAAAAACAGCTTTTAGCACAAACGAAGGTCATTATGAATATAATAGAATGCCTTTTGGTTTAAAAAATGCCCCTCCAACATTTCAAAGAATGATAAATAATGGATTAAAAGGACTAATAGGTAATGGATGTTTTGCATATATAGACGATATTATTGTTTACGGAAGAACGTTGGAAGAACATAATAAAAATTTGAAGAATTTATTTATAAGACTACGACAAGTTGGACTCAAATTACAGCCAGATAAATGCGAATATCTGCGTCCAGAACTGGAATATTTAGGGCATGTTATTACAAAAGAAGGTATAAAGCCAAACCCAGATAGAATTGACAAAGTAAAAAATTATCCAAGACCAAAAACTCAAAAACAGATTAAGCAATTCTTAGGACTTATTGGTTATTACAGGAAGTTCATAAAAAACTTCTCTAAAATAGCAAATCCACTAACTAAATTACTACGAAAGGAAACTACATTTGAGTGGACACAGAAAGAAGAAAACGCGTTTTCCGAATTAAGAGATAAATTAATAACAGCACCGATACTACAATTTCCAAATTGGAATCAAGTTTTTGTTCTAACAACTGATGCATCAAATGAAGGATTAGGAGCAATTTTATCACAAGGACACATCGGAGAAGATAAACCAATAGCATTTGCTTCAAGAACTTTAAATAAGGCAGAAATAAATTACACGACTACTGAAAAAGAATTATTAGCAATAGTATGGGCAGTTAAACATTTTAGACACCATCTTTTTGGACGAAGATTTAAAATTGTAACAGATCACAAACCCTTAGTTTGGTTATTTAATGTAAAAGATCCGACAAGCAGATTAATGAGATGGAGACTAAAATTAGAAGAATACGATTATGAAATTATTTACAAAAAAGGAATTGCCAACACAAACGCTGACGCCTTATCGCGCATTCCAAGGGTTCAGATGACAACAGACGGTACATATGATACGTTACAACAGCAGAACGCGCGTACTACAGGTGTAAACGAGGAAAATGAGAACATGGAAGTAGATACGCAAACAGAAGACGACAACTCAATCATTGATGACGAAAATAAATACGAAAATATGGAAATAGATTCACAGACAGAAGAAAGTGATCAATCAATAATTAAAGACGAATTCAAGGTAATAAAAACTATAAAATTGATTACAGGTACTAAAGAAAAAAGGCAAGGGTATGCAAATTATTCTCTTTTGGAACCGATAAGTAACTTGAGAGATATACTTAAACCTATAAGAGACACAAATTATATTTGGAAAATATTAGTTTATGGAAGAAAAACAATACCTAAAGAAAGAGCTATATACAAAGTAGTAAGAGATTTTAACGAGGAAACAGAAGTACAATGGATCAGAGATATACCT